GGCTGTGTTTGTGTGCTTCCTCTTCCACTGTTCAGACCTCTCAAGCAGTTAGCTGAATAGAAGTTAGACAGTTTGGTAATTTGGTGAAAGATGGATGTAAACAGTGCAGGGAATTTAATTTGAGTCTTAGATAATGGTTGGATTGTGGCCCACAATTTACACTGTACTTACTTTGTAATTGTTGTGCATTTGCAAAATAATTCTGGGGTACAGCAATCTCATTAAGGGGAGTTATCAACTTCAACCTGCATTAACTGTGGTCCAATATTCACTTTCCCTTTATCTCTGTTTATCCATAGTGTTCCACTATGTTCACCAGCTACTCTCTAACTTTATCTGGAAGTAATAAGATGACCACTTATCAGTTAACAGTAACTTTAGTGCGTGGGGCAAAATAATTATTACATGGTAAAAATTGAGAAAGTATTCCACTGGAATAGCTGATTTGCAGATTTAGCAGGCCGCTTTTGCATGCTCTTGGATTGGTCAAGTATAGTTATGGGTGTTTGACTGTCTTGGTCATGGTAATTATGAGCTAAGAACAAGATATGTGGGTTGTAATGAAGCACTGTCTGCTCTCTTCTCATTCTGTGTACTTACAGGGTAAAGTCAAGGAATACCAACCGCAAAATCACACAAAAAAACTTGCGAAATAGAATGAAGCCAAATTTGAAGGGATTGGCGTCGTAATAGCATAGTAACAAAGCTAACAAAGCAAAGTCTTTCATGAGTACAAAATTATTGCCACTTTTATTCAAAGAGTTTTTGTTTTGTTGTTTCGTGCATTTATTTTATCTAGCATCAACATCAATTTGCGGTGCTTATGTTTTGTTCTTATATTTGTTATTTAATTGCAATTGGTGAACTGATGGGAATATCAGAGCAGCTTGTTTTGCAGTGAACAGACTCAGCACAGGTTTGACTGCGCAGTAATAACAGGACCTTGAACTGAGGAAGAAGTAAACCAGTTATGATCTCATCAAGCTATATGGAGATACACGGGGAATAACTTTTCCAGCTCGACTTCAGACAGAAGCCTAATTTGACATAGACGTAGCGTGACAAAGACATAAATCCAAACCCAGAGGATGATTTCCATAGATGTCTGCTGAAACAATGAAGCCATCTGAAAAGTTCCAGTTTCTCTGCAGATGCAAAGGGGGAAGCTGAGGCGTAGATGAAGTCATACTCAACATTACGTCTACTAGCCATCTAATGATATGAACATCCGTGGAATCTTCCCGGCAGCGGAAGGAGCCATTGTATAGTCTCTGTACAATCTGATAAACTCTCTCTGCCTCCTAAGTATACTTCCATGGAAACACTGGAGCAAGGCAGATGAAGCTGATGTCTTGCACAGGTGTCTCTGGAAAAAGACTGCAGCTTTTATACAACTTGCAGTGCTCTCAGGTATTTTAAAGACGCCTACAGCTCCATATCTGGGTCATTTAATGGTGCACTAAAACTGACTTAGGTGTGTTTGGCTTGTGTGGGGAATGTTGCTATCTCTGGCTTACAGAAGAACCAACAAGTTTTTAAGTTTACTGCTAATGTAAATACATGAGGGATCCATCAGCATGTTGTTAATAGCTTTTCCTAGCAAAGACTTCGACAAGAGTCCACTTTAAAGGATGTTCTTCCTCCAGGCTGAGTAAAGTTAGGCTGTGGGAAACCACAAACCATGGACCATATAGTTGTCTGAAGGCCAGCATCTCTTTCCAAACTTGAATTTCCCAAGATGAAGCCAGAGTACGGTAATTGCTTGTTTGTAGGTCAATCCACAGGATGACCTTGAAAATGAAGATGTATGTAGTCTTTGACAACAAGCTTTGTGGTAATCATTGTACTGTACGCCGTACAGTACAGCAGTCTCTGGGATTTCTTCAAACACAAAAGCCTGACTCATCAACATCGATCACATACAGTTTCCTCTTTTCTTCTCGGAACCCAACTTGACGCCTGAAGCATCCTGACTCATCATCAGTGATGGCACTCTCTCTTTCTCTCCCACACTTTTGCCAGACTTTCTTCTCTCTAATGTGCATGTCCTGCTCTTGTTTAGAACTGTTTTGTTTATCTCTATGTAGGAGAACTCCAGCATGTGACTCACCTCTGGACTCCATCTGTAACCAAGCCTCCGCCCGTACTCGCTGCAGTTCTCAGCCCCCCACAACTGCCTCAAACAATACTCCTTTATACTCCCAAAATACTCTTATCCCATCTCTCTACAGCAAGCATGGCCAAAAAACTTGCGAGTCATAATGATGATGTGGAATCGTGTTTGCCAAGCGCTGTTTTTGTCTTGTGTTAGAGCTTTTGCCCTGATATAAATCCACAGTTGATGGAGCGTATACACAAATTAAACTGGAATAACTTCTTTGTTTATACGCTGATTGCTGCATCTATAAGTAACAACCCTTTTCTTCCTTTCCTGCCATTACAGACAGCATCATCAGGGACAAAGAGTTCGAGGTGATGATGCAAATTGACTGTGAAGTAACAGACACCAGGATCCTCCACATCAGGTCTTCCACCATCCCACCTCTGCTCCGGGTCAACCACACAGACACATTTTACCAGCACTCCCCGACCGACAGCCAGGCCGTGCCTCCTGTCGGTGTGCTAATGGGGTCTGCCTAAGATCACCATCAGCACCTGCGTTAACAACAAAACACATGAAGGCAAGCACAGGATAAAATCTCAGCTTGCGCTTTTTTTAAAAAATATTTGGTTAATGAATCATATTTTAAGGCTTGTGTGCTCCCACTGACTTTAGGTTTGCTGTTTAGATGTGAATGAATGGGCTCTGTAGAAATCCTAAGTCATTAGAATACAGAGGTAGCTCAAAGGCCATCCACATTCTTTATTAGGACTGATATCCAGAGGTAGTCTGTGATAGGGTCCGAGCAGACGCTTGCTCCTTGTGTGGCAAAACTGACTTCTCCCTGTGACCCCAGACGCCCCACATAAGGGTAATTGCTTAGCGGCAGGGGGCAGAGCATTGAACCCTGAGTCACCCCATCATAACACAAATACTTTTACCCCATAGCAGCTCCTCAAGTCTGCTCTTTTATTCCCCTTTATTTTCAGGACAGAGTTTAGAAAACAAATTGGTATAAACCTAAGATTTACCTACTTCAAACCTCAATTAGAGACAGAAAATACATTTGTGATATCAATGTTAAGAATCACAGAAAATTCTGTGTTTGTATCTTAGCTAGAAAATGGAGTGCTGGAATTGTTTCTCTTTCTCAGTTTGTCTTTTTTGACTCTCTAAATAAAGCAAATTTTATTAGTGAAATAGTAAGAGATGCCAGGTTAATTACAGGAGGCATTCAGTAAACTCAGGACGTCAGGTGATCTGTGAAAGCTAACAGGCTACCCACTATGTTTTTGGTTGGTTTCCACTAGGTGCTCTGTTTTTAGCATTGTATCGATGAAAGATTTCAGTTTTAAATTTTTGGGTCTTTGCACTGTGCTTTACTTATGAACAGATTCAAATACTGTATTGTATTTATTTCTTTTACAGTAATGGAAACTTCTGTGGTGTGATGCAATTTGCTCGTTTCTACTGTTAAAAACTTCTTCCGTCAGGATTTATTGATTTTTATTTTTTTCTGATTAAATGTGGTGGTAATTTATTCTAATTAATATTACATGGTAGAAACATACAGAAAATCTAGATACTGGGACAGTTCTTTAGTGTCAGTTCACAGAGTGGACATGAAAAAAATGTATCATCCTCAAATTTAAAATCGCCAGTAAAAAAAAAAAAACTGTGTCATAAATAATCACTAGTGAAAAATATTGTTTTGGTCCTGACTTCTCCGTCCTCGGGTTAAATTGCACTTTTATTTGGTGCACTTAATCCTTTCTGAAAATTGCAATCTACTAGAAATTCTTACTTTAAAAAGTAGATTTTAGTGAACCTTTGCACTATAAATGCAGGATCTTAGAAGTTCATTTCTGGTTTTAAATGCCTTATTTTGATGTGTCTCTAACCTTGTTTTGACTACCTGTAATTTGGGGTAAAATTTATATTAAGTAAGAAACTATACATCATCAGAATTAGTAACCTTTTTCATATTACTGGTCAGTTTCTGTATATGTGGATAAAACTGCATACTATACTACTACGACTCAAAGTGCTTTCTTTTCTCTTTGTGCTGTCTACATGATTGTACAGATGGTTATGTTTTAACTCAACAGATGCCCATAAAATGTTCAGGAAAAAAAAAAACTTGTGTTGTTTTAACACAGGCCTTCTGTGTATGTAATTTTTCCCCCTTTGGTTTCAGAAATATATTTGATTCGTTACATTGTTTTCACTGCATCCCAACGGTACTTGGGGACAAGACAAGAGTACAATTAAAAACTTCTGAGGTTTTTGTTTTGTTTTTGTATTCTATTATATGCATAAACCAAAATAAACACTGGATTTTCTCTAACTATACCTGTGTGTGTAATCTTTGGGCTTTTGGGGGAAATCCTATAACTGCATTATTTCATTTTTTGTTCAACAAGTACAATAGACTGACTGTTCATGTGTATTTTCTTCCACTATAACTCAACTGTAACAGTAAATTACAGGCTTGAACACTCCATCTCTCTCTTTTCCTGCCTGGTTGTCTTGAGTCTATCCTCAGTCTTCCAGTTGGATTAACACTCACAACCTATAATTAAAGACACTTTAACATCAACAGTGGCTGGCCAAACAAAAAAGACATTTTCCATTAGTATTTCCAAACTTTATTGCGGTCTCCTCAAAGCAGTCTGATATGGAGGGAGTAAGTGCTTTCACAAGACAAAAGACCTGTGGTATATGATGCAAAGAAAAATGTAATATAAAAAAGTGTATAAAACAGAAAAAATGAATTTGTCCACAAAATTTTAGAAATTTGTTCAAAGAGAGCTTTTATGAATTATTTTTTTGTGAATTGCTTTGACCCAAACCATTGACTCATTCTGAAACCCTTCTACATTCATTTATCTCAAAGGACTTTTTTTTTTTTTTTCTTTTTTTTTTACAGCATTACAATATATACAGTACAACTTGATGTGTTGACTGAGGAATCAGGCTCACTTTTTCACTTTTTTCAGGTAAAACTTAAAACAAAGCAATTTAATCACAATATACTGAAGTATATATGTACATTTGGCCCCCATTTGTCTCCATCCTGAAGGCCATGTGGACTGATCTACAATCCACTCAAACCATAGAATTAACTTTTAAAATAACTACCGTCAGACCCTTACTTAGGGTCTACATAAGCAAACTTAATGTTGTATGTGACTTGGTGTCCATTGTCCCACGCATACAACACTCCCTCTTTGGGATTGTAGTCAATCTGCGTAGTGTAGGTGTAGTTGTTGGTGAAGGGCATTCTGGGAATCATTTGAGTGTTTGTGTGCGTGTCAAAGGCGTATTCCAGGTTGGCGTCCTTTTGGTTGTTGCTGTCAACAGCGTAAAGGACGCCGCACACGATGAAGCAGTTCCCGTAGTGGTTTCTCCTGAGCCCAGTTCTCCAGGTGGTCTCCCTCTGCATGCTGAGGTCCGAGGGGTTCAGTCGACTCAGAACGATCACTTCCTGTAAGAAGCCTTCGTCATCCAGTGCCGGGTAGATGATCCACAGGCCGCTCTCATCCACGGCAAAGTCGATGTCTGAGTGACTGCGCCACTCCCACGGTGATGACGACTCTTCGACCAGGGCATCATGCAGCATTGTCCACGAGGCCACGTAACGCTGACGCAGGTCAAACTTGATGATGTCACGGGAGAAGGCACGGTTGTAGTAGAAGGCCCCATCGTAGACCACATGGCCTGTGCCGATCCAGTTGTAAGGCAGCTTGTAGGAGTTGGTAAAACGGCCTTGAAAGGAAAAAGAAGAATGGCAAATATGAGATTTATCAAAACCAAAAGGAAAACAAGAAATACTTGAGTGAAAGCTCAAACTACTGGTTCTTACCTTGTTTGAAAACTTCCAGGTTGCGAAACTCCAGGAGGTTGTTGCCATAATAGAAGTTTGTGACATAAATTTTGTCATTATCAGACTTTGGATCCTTCATCCACGCTCCTTCATTCCTGCCATAGGTGTTGTGAGTTACTGGCTCAGAGATTGTTGCCAAAGTGTCCTTACACTCCCCTGTAAAAAAGACCCAGAGAGCTATGAGTTAGGATTTAGAAACAGTTCAACATCATCCAGACCTACGTCAAAGAGTCTGAAAATGATTAGAAGCTTTTGTTTAAACCAGCTTGAATCACGGAAAGGAGGTTGCCACATACTGTAAAGCACAGAATTTCAAAGTTCAGAGATTCACAGAACAATTTCTTGAATATTCTCCTCATGACACTTTGAAAATAGCGAAGGTATGATGCACAGCAAATCAGGGGTTCTATTTGGCAATATCTTTGGTGCTAAGCTTTTGTAAGTACTTGATAGCGGTGTTGCTAGTGATGGGAAAGTCAGTCTGTCAGCTATTTTGTCAGTTGTTCCACCACTTTGGTCAAGACTGAAATATCTCAACAACTATTGGAGAGATAACCACAGAACTGTCCAGACTGTCCATTCATGGTCCCCAGAGGATGAAGCTGGTTGACTATTTTAAATTATCCAAACTGTGGCTTATCATCAGCCTCAGCTTTACTTTGTATTGAGTGCTGATTAGTAAATGTTAGTATGCAAACATACCAAACTAAGATCGTAACTATAATAAACTTATAACTAACTATACTAACTATGTTAGCATTGTCATTATGAGCATGTTAGCATGCTGACAGTAGCAAATTAGCTCAAAGCACCACTGTGCCTGGTAAGTACAGCCTCACAAACTGCTAGCATGGCTCTTGAAGTCTAGTTTCAACGCACTTCCAACTTGACAATCAATGTCTTTCACTGTATCATATTTTTTCCTGTTGCTCCTAATATCTCACTGTTTGAACTGACACAAAAACTCAACTTATTTACCAGGTTTTTGTGAAGTAGATTCCTCCTGTCTTTGCATTGGCTCATCTAATTCCAGGTGTCCTTCCTCCCCCTCATGCTCTTCCCAGCTGATTTTGTATTTCTGTTTAACTTGAGCGGCCTGCCTGGTAGTGGTGGTGGTAGTGGTAGTGGTGGTGGTGGTGGTGGTGGTGGTAGCTGTAGAAGAGGTAGTCACAGGTGTGGTGAAAGGCAAAGTGGTCAGTCTCTGTGTGGTAGGAGGCAAAGTGGAAGCTGAAAAGGAGGTGGACTCAGTTTCTTCCTCTGGAGTTGTAGTAGTAGCCTGTGCAGAGGTAGCTGTTGTGGAAGCTGTCGTGGGGTGTATTGGTGCTGAGGTGAGGACAGCATGGGTTGTAATGGTCACAGTGGAAGGTAGGCTGGTAGTTGAAGCCTCTGTGGTTGGTTTTGGCGCAAGTGTGCTTGGATAGGATGCAGTGCTGCCAGGTACGGTTTGCATTTGCTCATTCAGCTCCAGGGTTGACGTTTCTATCACGGTGGTTGGTGTATTTCTTACTGTGAATACTGGTAGGATTGTCTCTGTTGTGGCTGTAATTGCAGAGGGATGGGTTGTGTTCATTGTTGTTTTGGTTGTTTCCTTGGTAGTGACTCCTGGGGAGGTGCCGGCTGGTTCATCCATTAAGGGGATTGGCCACTTAGTGATTCCAGCAGTGACTCTATGACTAGTGTGAGATGTGGTGTCTGTGGTCCTGTTTTTTTGTGTGGTAGTGGTTGGTCCAAACGTGACACTTCTCCTCGTGGATGTGTCACTCTGTGCATCTGCAGACATATTGACCGATGCGGTTTCAATGGCACTGACGGACCCATCATGAGTTTCTGAAGTGGACTCAGTTTCTTTCGGTTTTGTTGATTGGCTGGTCTTGGAACCCTGCAAAGGAGCTGTTGTCTTTGGTCGAAACGATCTCGGCCCCGCCCTCGTCCTGGGGCGAGGGACTCTGTGCTGAAGAAGATTCTCCTCAATGAAGAGGTTGACTGGGCCATCACCACTGAATCCATGATACTCAAAAACTGAAGAGAAAAGGGAAAATGTTTTGTCAAGTAATCTGAATTCTATTCGACATCTCTGACCATGCAAATGAAAGGGCAAGAAGTGTGGATGGATTTGTAGCTACACTTTTATAGTTGCCACGGCAGCTGACAGCAGCTGAGGTAAGCATTAAGCTTTTGCAGCTAACTTTTAATGATCTGATATCCCACACCCGTTAAACCACTTATCCTGGTTTACAGTTACCAGAGTGTGGACAAGACATAAAAAAGATTGAAGGTATAATTTTTATCCATTGCTTTGAATCACTTAATATTTAAGTATTGTGCTGATGTCACAACAGCTTAATCTACCTGAGTGGTCTGATTGATTTGTAAAGTTTTGTTAAACCTTCTTGAGACAGTGCTTGTACTTACAGTTTTCTCCAGGCTCCCCATCATCTGCCACCATCGGATCTGGCTCAGATTTATAAAAAGTCATTCCTCTGATGATCATGCCGTTGGGGCCGGTCTTTGACACCTGAGAAGCCTCCTTGTTAGCCACATTGTTGGGAGGCACCTGGGGTTTGACGTCAGTGATCTGAGCAGAACCATCGGTCTGCAGGAAGGACGAATTTTCCCCAATAAACTTCTCCTCATACTTTCCCTGTTAGTGGACAGATAGACACAAAAAATATGTATGAAAATATAAACCGTGCATTAGGCTGACACCAACAACAGAAAATTATAGAACCACTGCACTGCACGGACAACAAACTTTAACACTAAGAGAAACCTAACAAGTGAAATGTTTTTCTGGGGAGATATTACTTTATTATGTTGTTAACATTTTTGACATATTTTGTGACATCACTGCAACAAATGACAAGAAACAAGCAGTCAGACAATCAGATAGACAGTAAACAAGCTAACTGATTATCACTTTATTTAGAAGTTAGTACACCTATTTTTGACTTTTTTTTCACTACACAGGAAACTGTACAACCATACAACTACAGCAGAGCAGTAGGTTAAAGTTGAACCAGGAAATCAGTCTACAGATTGCAATTTATGTTTACATTTGACATTTTGGGTAATACTTTTACCATTTACATTATTTTATTTCTTCAAATAAGTTTGTTTAACCTGGGCTTTAAAACAACATCATCTGACTGTTTGTGTTTCTTGCATTGTCTGAATTCGTTTTCTTTTTACCATGTAGCCATATTCACAGAAACTACAAAGTGTGACCCAAATTGAAAATAAACCTGAATCATCCTTTAACAAAGAGGACATTTTTTATTTGAAAAAAAAAATTCATTTAAGTTTCAGCTTTTATTAATAACAGTGTTTTATGCTTCACAAGATCTCTTGTGAAACATATTAACGTAGTGAATCACTTGCATGCGAAGCACAGGTCCACCCAACACTGCTGGATGTGTTCTCCATTTTATACTTCAGTTGTCATGGATCAGGGCCCAGTGGTCCAGTTACTGGTCTGAGGTCTGCTATTGTCCACTGGGACTGCCAAACCTTACAATTACCTCAGAAACTCTTTCACACATTCTTAGTCCTTAATCATGGAGACGATGATTTTTATGAAGGACTTTGTGGAAAGAACACATAATTGTTCCTTTTGTTTTGAAACAAAGACTAAATAATGTTCTACCAGCCTGAGCAGCAACATGTGAGTCCAATCACTTCTTTTATACTTGCTCCTTTCCTAAATTCAGTTAATTCAGTCACAGTCTTCACAACTGCTTTTAATATAGGAGCTATCGGGATTTGCCTCACAATCTGAAAGAACTACATTGCAGTAACTTACTGGAGTGATTTATTGTGTATAAGACTTTTCAACTGACATACAATAAGGTGGTAGCATTTTGTAGCACATTATTTACTAAGTATTCACTAGATAATTATGTAATTATAGTTTTTTTTACGAGTTCCAAGCAAAACTGTACCGGTTACTGTACTGTACTGTTACAGGTGCAGTAATTATGTAGTACTTATTGGTTGAATATGCAGTGATAGCTACAAAAAGGTTTTTGCATTCTGCGAAATATGTATGTACTAGGTAAGCGAACTTCAATAGTTGCTAACAGCCTGTGATTGTTTTAAGTTAGAACAATTTATTTTACTTCTATGTTACTGACCCTGTTGACCCTGTGTGTTAAGATATCACACTTACATCTGGGTTCTGATAAACTGCTGCCCCGCTGACCTCACTGAGTCTCGTCTTGTCCTGATACCGGGGGGGACGAGGGGTGGGCGGGCTTTCTGTCACATCTGCCTCAGTGGGAGGGCTCTCCTGGGGCTTCACCTCGTCCGTGGTGCTGTTCAAAGACACCACCTTCGTGCAGCCAAGGACAAATCCAGACATCGTGCATGTGTTAAATGGAAAATAAGCTGCATTCGTCAGAAGTCATAATCACAATAGGAAGGGAGAAAAGTCAAGTGGAGCCCCTAATATCTTGAGACACTAATGGGTCTTTTTCACTGCAGACCTTTTGACTTGTCGTAGTAGGAAAAGAACAGGTGTAACTAAGAACATTAGCAATTACTCTGTTCTATTCAAGTGCCCTAGTAAACCATCACAGTGAGCCAGCATGCACAACACCAGGACCCTGACACTGAAGCAGCTAGATGGAATTCAGTCGTCATTGATTTCATTATTAACTACTGCAACGTGTCAAAATGTCCTCTGTGAGAAGTTCTTATCCTAAAACAGTTTGGATGCAATACATCTCCCTTACACTCCACCAGTGTTCGCTTTGAAAGGCAGCAACCATGTTTGATCGCCATGTTCACTGACTGTCAGGGACTTGCACTTTCACATCTCTACAAGTGATTTTTTCTGTCTTGCAAGGACAGACACAGCTGAAACTAATAACATTAAGAATGGATAAACTTCATTTACCCATTATTATCTGTAGCTGTGTTTTCCATGTCAAGACAACTCTGTGGAAAGGGTCACTTTAAGAAGCTGACAGTTTGTACATCACAGCTTCATTTGCTGAAAACCAATCAGTGTTTTAAATCCGATTCAAATCTACACATACAAAGATTTTTTGAGCCTGTTATTTATATGATTTGGACGTCACAACTGATTGGACTAAGTATGATGGAGCCAGTTGCTGTTAATGATCATGAGAAAAAAGTGTGATATGTAAGTATAATAATCTTAAATCTTCAAATCAAGTCATCGCCAGTTGTTCCAGTCAAGATTATATAGAACATTATTTGAATTTAGTGACTAACAACAAACCCATGGCACATTCACTGGGATGTTTACAGTTATTTTAGATAATTACATGCTTCTCCGCGTGGGTACGTAACCTGTACGTAACTTTGTGAAGTGTATGATTCATTTAAGTATATGGAGTTTGGTGACTTCAGCAAACTTTCAGCACAACTCCACCTGAGGTGAGATCTGATTTACTAATGTAGCAATGGGGGAAAAAAAACAAAGAAGGTATTTTGTTGGTCCATTACAACAGGCCAGTCAGCTCATTTTTAAGAAGGGTTCAGTACTCATGCAGATATACATCCACATGTGATAGAGGTCCTGCCCCTAATAAATCTGAAAACTGATTGTTGTCCAATTGTTTTACTGGATGCACTGAATTCAGAAGCCACCAATATATAAACACACCCACTACCACCAGTTTGTGCATATGTTACATATGTTATACAAACATATTTGCATGAATCTTACACTGGCACTGTACCTTTTCAATGTGCTCCACACGATCCAGGAGCTTATTGGTGATGGAGTGCAGCTTCAGTAGGTCCATGCCATAGAAGGAGCCCTCTAGCAGCTCAAGAATGGTGGACAGCTAAAATGAGCAAGTGGAATCCGTCAAAAGGGGTTTACCAAGACATACCATGCGTAAAATATGCCCATTCAAACTCTGAGTCTGTGGTTATGAATAAAATGAGGGGCTATCCTTAACTGAATGTGATAAAACGTGATATCCATGCCTCCACTGATCCAAGCCTCTCTAGAAACCAATGGACGTGTAAGGGAGCAGCCTGTTGGCTCTGGAGCATAGTGACTTATTTGTATTGGAGGCCCTGGTAAATATGGACAACGGACAGGATGACACTTCACCTTGACATTCTCTTTTCCAGCTTCCCTAAGTTTTTTCAGCCTGTACTCTCCCTCGCAGGGGTTGACCGCTGACGGAGGAGCGATGCAGGCGCACTTGCACTCAGGTCCAGATGTGATAGTCTCCACAGTGTAGAAATCCTGCGCAGTGGCGCTCCCTTCTTCTATCCGCCGACAGGCGCTCCTGCTCAGGGGTCTGACAACACATTTACACCGACAGTCAGAGCCTTCCGAGAGGGCTTTCACTTTGTCATAATCACCCAGCAGCTACAAAGAGAAGAGGACGGATGTGTTTTCCACCACGCTCAACCACAAACGTTTGAATTTGAACGCACAAAATGATGAAATGTCCATAACAGAAATGATGTAAAGAAGTAAAGAAAGTGGACATTTCCTCCTACCTTAGAGAGGATGCTCTCTTGGCCATCTATCTCCTCCTGCAGCCTGTCATTTTGCTCTGCATTGCTCTGAACTTGTGACCTGGGATCTGCACCCAGGGTCTTTGGCGCGGCAAAGCCCCGCGGAAAACACGCACAGCACATTACGATGACAATGCATAACTTAGACATGTTGTGAAGCTCACAGAGCGCCGAGAGAAGAATTAAGGTTTGCACAGCAGGCACAGCCTGTCACCTATTCATTTAACTCCTAAGAAAACTTCATAGCGTACGTTTGGCTCCAGAATCAGAGGTGTATCCACAACGTCATCAGATTGAGGGATTACGCTTTACAGCGCCATGTCATCTTTTTCATAGTCGCAGTGAATGTAGGATGATGAGTCCTGAGAAACCGTCCACTCTGGGAGAGAGCAGCCGGCATCTGCTGCTGGAGCAGCGCTGACAGGAGGCGGACCTGATCAAACTGGCGAGGAGGAGCTGAACTGCTTCAAAAGACTTCTCACACAATGAGCAGCTTATTAGTAATCATTAAACACAAATGCAGTGAAAATTTAAGCATAATCTTCAACTGTCTCTCAGATTTAACTTAGTTTATGGCTCAAAACCATATTTCGAAGACAATTACAAGGATGCAGCCTGTTGCACTTTGACTTGATACTGTTCTGTCGCTTTTCTGCAGCCCAGTTTCAGCTTAGGTTTTGCTGCCCTCTACCTGCAACAGGGTACAACAAAAAGTGAAACAAACCTTTGAACTTAGATGTTTATTTGTAGTGTAAGGCACATTTCATTGCGTACTTATTTCCCTTCATCAAACTTCTTTCAATAGTCAAGTGTGTATGTGTCTGTAGAAAATGGTGCATGAGAAGTTCTGTTAAGGCATATGGTGCCATGCAGGTTTGAGAATCACAAAGAAAGTTGTCATAAAAATGAATAAACCCCGTATTGTGATACCAAAATTATAGATCTGCAATGTAACACATTTTTATGTTGTCATTACCCAGAGAAGAACAATACTCTAAAATTAAATAACTTTTAAGTGCCACAGTCTTTTTTCATGATGAATATCCACAGTAATTAAAAAAAATATTCCGTAATATAATGATCTTTTTTATTTCTATTTGATGCCTTCATTTGCAATGAGCTTTAATATATTAAGAAACCTTTGGGTCTTTAAAATCACTCGACCTGCCCCAGAATAACAGGAGTCACACAGTGAGAGATCTGATTAAAAGGTGGTAGTTTAGTAATTACACTGAAAGTTCAAGTAAGAGTGAATATTTATGTGCACCCTTCACGTTCCATCCTTTCAACTGCTGCCACAGGAAGGATGAGGTGAGAAATACGGCTCCACAGTCCACCATACTTGTCAAGATCCATTCTGTCAAAAGATACAGGGCGGCCATGAGAAAGAAACTTCTTTTGAAGGTGGTCGTCCACCATCTCCTCCACAGCACTCAAACTAATCTTGGCAGGAATCTCCTCTTCTTCCCCCAGCAGCACTGTGAAGATCAGAAAAGTTTTCTTGTAGGCAGCGTTCTCATGGTCGCAGTAGCGATAAAAAATGAGCGTGGAACCTGGAGGCAGCTCCTCGAATCGATGAATGACAGCCACGGGTTTGTCTCCCTCAAAAGCACCTTGCAACTTGCTGTCAATGTCCAGTTTGACCTGGTCGCTGTCCTGACTGGCTTTACTGGATCCATTTATGTGGAGGACGGAGACATTGAGGGCAGAAGAGAAGGCAGAGGCCACGCCCAGAGCCAGGCAGCGTAGCGTCTTCTCAGCTCTGAGGCCGGCAGTCAGGATGAGACTCACTGGCTCTGTTGGCTGGGCCGTCTGGAGGTGCCTCAGCAGGTGGATCCTGCTCCTACCCCATAACTCAGGCCGCTGGTTAGGGAACTGATTCTCCACTTTTTTCATCTCATTGATGAATCTGATGGCTACATCTTCTTTCTGAGGTGGAGGGTCAGACTGGTGGAGATGCTCCGAGATGTATAAAATGGCTACAATGGCTGCTACCGCTATTCCCACTATCAGCAGGTAAATCCAGAACATTCCTATGGAGAGAGAGCACATGTTTTATCTTAACCACTACATTATAAAGTAATTCCTAAGTTATTTACAGGAATATATAATACACAATGTTATTATTGATAACAATCACTGAGATAGAGCTAGAAATGATCATAACACTAAAAGCAACGTAAGGAAAGTCACAATATTACCTCTGCCACCAGTCGTGGTTTCAGTAGTCTCCTGTGTTATAGGGCCAACGTTTTCAGTATTCTCTTTTTTCTGTTGGAATACTCTCTTTCGGACTGCCTTGCCCTCCTGTTTATCACTGACTTGAGACGGTAAATCAGGCTCTGGGACACCTTCATTATCTGAGCAGTGAGGGAAAAAACAGATTAACATAAACTAAAAAACAAAACAAAACAGATACTCCACCTACATGATCCCACAATGGCCTCCACCAGTGAACACCATCTGTTGTGTAACATTAGAACGCCCAGAAGCTCAGCACCCACAGCACAAGGAAAAAGTCACTGAAATTTCAGAATAGAAACATCAGACTCACCCCTTCCAGCTCCAGTGTGCAGAAAACTTTGTTCTTGTTCTGTAATATCTGGAAGTGTGGGTTCAGTAGTTTCCTGTGTTGTAGGGCAAATGTTTTCAATATTCTTTCTCTGTTCATCCATCTCTTCTTCCTGTAGCAATGGTTTCTGTTGGGGGATTGTGTTCTCCTTTACATCTTTGTCTTCGGGATGTAATTCACGCTCTGGGCTCTGTTCATCATCTGAACAGTGGGGGAAAAAACGCAAAAAACGAAACAAACCAATAAAAAAAGATACCCCAGCTACATGTGCATGTTCCCTAACTGGCTTCCCACCGCCTGTTGTGTTACATTGGAACCCCCAGAAGCTCAGCACCCACAGCAGAAAGTTAAAAGGAAAAAGTAATTGAAATTTCAGAAAAGAAATGTCAGACTCACCCCCTCCAGCTCTAGTGTGTGTGTCTTTAGAGCCCCGGGAGTCTTGTTTTTGTCCATCTTCTTGCTCATCCTGGGGTTGTGTATTGGTTGTTTCTGATTTTTTCAGATTCTCCCCAGTGAAGCCATCCCCTGACAAAATAAGAACGGTTAAACTTCCACAACAGCTTGATCATCAGTGTCTAAACACTCACTTTTTAAATGGGGTTTAAAAAATGGCGGCTGCAACAAGAGTTCAGTGTTTAATCTCACAGTATTAAAGGACAGGTTCACAGTAGAAAGTTAAAAGGAAAAAGTCATTGAAATTTCAGAACAGAGACGTCAGACTCACCCCCTCCCACTCTAGTGTTTGTCTCTTTAGGGCCTGGGTAGACTTGTTTTTGTCCATCTCCTTGCTCATCCTTTTTGTCCCTTTGTTCGGTGTCGGTTGCTTCTGATTTTGTCCTCTCCCTAGTGGAGTCATCCCCTGATAAAACAAGAACAGTCAAACTTCCACAACAGTTCGATCATCAGTGTCTAAACACTCACAATTTAAATGGGGTTTAAAACAATGGCCACTGCAAGAACATTTCAGTTTTTAATTTCATAGTATTAAAGGACAGGTTCACAGCAGAAAGTTAAAAGGAAAAAGTAATTGAAATTTCAGAACAGAAATGTCAGACTCACCCCCTCCAGCTCCAGTGTCTGTCACTTTAGAGCCTGGGGAGACTTGTTTTTGTCCATCTCCTTGCTCAACCTTTTTGCCATCCAGGGGTTCGGTGTCTGTTACTGATTACACAAGGCGAAAATCATGTTTTGTCAGGTCAATTTGGATTTCTTTCTTTCTAGATTATAGATTCAGATGAATAAGCAAAGTCTTGTTAGGTGAGAAAAGAAGTCAATAAATTTAAACCACTGTTATAAAAGTATACTAGTTCAATGTAAGTGATACCTTTTTCGAGAGCTGGGTTCTCTTGGTTGATATCTGTGTTTTGCTCTGCCATTTTTGTATAAGGGCACTTCACTCAAGATGGATCACTGGATTCTTCAAAGCTGCGTAAAACAAATGTAACAGTTGATAAAACAGCCCCTTGTTTTAGTTTTGCAGTGATGATCGTCACATGTACAGAGTCCAAATTGATGTTGTAAAATTGCTTGTTTACATGTCAGAAGGAACCGGATGAAAGGCAGTTTCACATGAACACAGATAAAATTTACAACTAACAACGATTAGAGACAGATAAACATTAAATTCTGCAAAAATGCAATACAATTAACGCTCAAGCTCAAAGCTGAAATCACTGAATTTTATGTTTCGACGGGTTTGCTAAATAATATTTTGGGGGCTTATTTACAACTCAATTTGGGAGCCAGTAAATCAACCGAAGAAGAAAGTGGTTAGTTAGCATTAGTTTGTCGAAAAACCTGCTCACTGGGAACCAAACTGATAGCACACGTAATATGTGAACGATTGGTTAGCTAACTGGCAAGCAGGTTAACTGACTGACAGTTTAGCAAAGGTAGCCACCAGTTAGCAAAACAATACACAGCTTCAGTCTGTGATAACATAATAGCCTTCGTTTAACTTAATCAAACACCTTTTAAGTATATTCTTTTAATCCCGCATTCTTACCAGACGTGCCCTCGATCACATTACCGTTGATATTGACCCATGTAACGTTTCCTTATCTTTCGAGTGCCATCTACAAGCGGAACGTTAAGGCTTGCACTTGTTTCCTTGGCAATCATTTCCGGACATCGGCGGCGTACGGTCACAAAATGTCCCCCTTAACAATCAAAGGAAATACCTATTGTCGACGAATTATTTAACTGATGTTTTTGGTGTTGCCTGGTCGAGGTGTGATCATAAAATGGATTCCAAGGCTTCTGAAAATGAGATGTCTCGCCCCTTGAGACGATCGACAAGGCAGTCAACCGTTAAAGGTGAGCAAATGGGTCGTAATGACAGTTAGTTGACTTAGCCTTAGCCGGAGCTAGCTGACTTTACCTCACACAAAGTTTAATATCAAAATTCCTCGATTTTTCTGCTGTGACTAACGTTAGCTAAGTTTATAGGCGTAGACTTGAAGTTATTTTGCATTTTATTTAAACTATTTAGCGTTTCAGGACACTTTCATTTCTCATGTCTTCCCATTCCTTCTGTAGTACTGAGTATTGAGCCGAACTAGTAGCATGGATAATATGTGAGCTGTTGGTTAGCTTGTTAGCTGGTGGGTTAACTGATTTAGTTACTTTTCTGGGTTCATATGTAGTATAGACAGAGGAACCAACACTTGGGCGGAACGTTCAGTCGTGCCCTTGTTTCTATTGAGATTATTTCCGGACATCGACGGTGTACGGTCACATAATATCTCCCTTAACAATAACAGGAAATGCCCGTGGTGTTATATAACTCATGTTTTTGTAGTTGCTCGTTAGTGATGGCCAATTAAGGCATTTTGAAGCAGAGAGGGTTCCAGTCGTCTGGGTCTCCAACATGCTCATTATTCGTATCGTCATTAAACCGCATTCACCAGCGACATCTACTGCTGAAGTTGATATCAGGCAGCCAAATCATTTACGAGCCTTTTAGTATAAAAAACAATATAGCCCTGCTATACCTTTTATGAACACAGTGATTCCATTATGTCATTGAGTCGTTAAACATTAAACATATTTATAAGGATGACATTTGTGTTGGAATTATTTTTATTTAATATCAGAGCTTCCTTTTGCGGTGGCTTGAGCCCAGCGCTGACACAGTGCTGTGGAGATAGGTTTGGCTATTCGAGTCTACACAAGTTTTTGTTTATGTCAGAGTTTTAGTGGATCCTCACTTCTTCGAACTACTGCTACTTCTACTTCTCACAACAACAACAATAATAATGAATACTCCGCTAAACTCTTGTACAAATCCTGCTACATTGACGAGGCGGGAGCGAAGCTATCCCCTACAAGGACCCATGAAGTGCCGGTAGTTTCGGATGCTTTTATCCGGCACCAAGCACTCAAAACAAACCGGTGACGTGTAGGTCACGTGTTTTCCTGCAAACTGGTACAAGCCTCGAAGCGGGGTTTCATCTGGCACGCCTGTCCATACTCAGTGCACGCCTCGCTACAAATGTCCAACCAGTATCGCTCGGTCGAGTTGTAATCACAAATGGATTCTAATAGTAAGGTTTCTGGACCCTTGACACGGTCGACCAGGCAGTCAGCCTTTAAAGGTGAGCAAATGGACCTTGATGACAGTTGGTTAACTTAGCCTTATCCCTCGGGGCTAGCTGACTTTACCTCACACAAAGTTTTATAACGAAACCCTTTGATTTTCTGCTTTGACCAACCTGCTGTGGCTGGCTTAATCGCTGTAGACTTGGAACGCTTGGAGATCTTTGACATGTTTAGCCTACAATGCTTGAGAACACTCACACATTACACTAATTTCTTCCTATTCCGTCATTAGCACTGAGTTTTGAGCCGACCCCCAGGATCCCTCTGAAGAGGACCAAAAGGCACTTAGAAAACCAAGCTCCTGTTGCAGCTGTTAACGGTTCCAAAGATAAGGAAAATGGATCGGAGGATGATGGTGGGATGCTTCAGTTAACAGCATTTGTTCTAATTGTAACAGTTAACACTTAGTCTACTATGTTCAGACCAGTGTGAACAACTGTGACTTTTATTTCCTACTTCACAGAGTCACCGAGCAAGAAGAGCCGGCTGGAGACTGGAGAAGCAGTGGGCGGCAGTGGTGATGAGATCGAGATGGATGTCCAGGAATCAGCTGAAGATGAGGATGACAATGAAGAGCAGGAAATGGATATGCAGAGGCAGGATTCCTCTCATGTCACTCATCGACACAAAATATTCCAAGGTTAAGGTTATACATTACTGCTTTAATCATTTCTTGATGAAATGTTAGAAATGAGATATTTGGGGTGACACAATGGTCGAATAGTTAGGGTGTATACTATATGGCTGTTCTAAGCCCTGAGCAGCAGGTCCCTGGTCAGATCTAATCACAAGCAGTTCAGAGGTTTTATTTATAGGTTTTCCCTCTGTTTGAATCAGGTGCCAGTGGAGATGTGAATTTGTTCCCTCGTGTAGTGCTCCGTGAACGCTGCAGATCTGGTCATGCTGTAAATGAAGATGCAGAATGGATAAAAACCAAGACGGGTAGGAGAATGCTGATGGTTGATTGTGCATGGGAATGATTACATTGAGAGAGGATAATACAGTTGTCCTAATATAGTCTCTTTGTTTTCAGTAAAACTATCAACCAAAGAACCTGCAACCCCCACCAAGTCTGCCATTCAAAGCAAACCACTGGCAAACAGACATCATGCTCCAATTACCAGCATGGAGGAGTACAGGAAGAAGATGGAGGACAAAGCCAAGAGTGCTGGTACTATAGACATTATTATTCAGACAGATTTTAGCAAGAAAATTGCATTAAACACCTGTTAAATTGGTTTGCACCATATTTTTTCTACATTGATAAATTCTTCCTCTTCCTCATATTTAGATAAACCCAGAGTTAAGTACCATACCGGAAGCATGTATCCAGCCTCAGAGAAAGCTGTCACAAAGCAACAATATTTGAATAACATTAAAAAGGAAATTGTTCAGCAAAAGAAACAAGGTATTGCACTTTCGACTGAATTTTACAGTCTCGAGAAACATGTAATGTAGCTTTGACATTTTTGACATTGAGTTAATGAGATTTTCTCTTGTAGATAAAGGGATGAAGAAAACTGCCAAAATCAAGACAAGCTCTGGATATTCTTGTAGTGGTAAGCTACAGTCAATTTAACTACATTGTCTTTACACCCAAAGATACTTGTCCTACATTTGAATTGTGTCCTTTCAGGATTCATGTGGAACTTATGGTGTTTGCTCCTCCTGGTGCTGCTCAGTTCTGCTACCTTGCTGGTATACAAGAAAATCCCTGCGCTCCAAAGGATCACAGATCCTGGGGGGCATTTACTCAGGGCTGTGAAGCCAGAAACATTTGCAGATCAGTTTTCTCTTCTTGAGGCTCAGTTCCCCAGTCAGCGGACTGAGTTGTGGAAGAGAAGCAAGATACACCTGGAGAGGCACCTCAAAACAGCCCAGCCCACAGAGCCAGTGAGTCTGATCTTCACTGCTGGCAGCAAGGCTAACAAGACGCTGCGCTGCCTGGCTCAGGGCCTGGCCTCCTCCTTCTCGTCTGCCCTCAATGCCTCCGTCCTCGACATCAATGGAGCCAGCAAAGCCGGCCAGGACAGCGATGACGTTAAGCTGGACATTGACAGCCAGCTGAAAGCCGCCTTTGAAGGTAATAAACCTGTGGCAGTCATTCATCACCTCGAGGAGCTGCCTCCAGGCTCTACCCTCATTTTTTATCGCTACTGTGACCATGAGAGCGCTGCATACAAGCGGGTGTTCTTGTTGTTTACTGTGCTACTGCCGCAAGATGAGATCAGCAGTGACAGGTGTCTGAAGGATGTGGAGGAGATGGTGCAAGACTATGTTAAGGAGAGGCTAGTGGGCTCCAGCAGCCAAACCTCCTTCAATGAGATGGACACTGACAAGTACGGTGGACTGTGGAGCCGAATCTCTCACCTTATCTTGCCTGTGGTGTCTGAGCAGGAAGTAGAGCAGAAAGGATGCTGATGAACCAAGCTGGCATCCCAGAATTAGGATGCCACTTTGGACCAGCCTGATCCTTCTTGGTAATGTGCAGGAGCTATGAAACAGTGAAGTAATATGAAAATAACGTGTGTGCTGTGATGTTTCACATATAGACTTGATTTCAAATGTTTGAAAGTTATATTAATTTATCTCTGTCACAGATGATTCTCAAACTGCAGTCCAATGTCTGATTCAATTTAACTGCTCAAAATGTTTGGCACAGTTTTTAAATGTGTGAACATGTACAGGCTTTGCATTAGGAACAGTAACAATGGTGTTGCACCATCATTCCACTTTCAAAGAAGGGTATTCGATGCATATTCTCATGCAGATTTAACAAAACGACATATACGAAATAGAGAGCACTGTGTTCAGCTGCTTTTTAATGGACATTTCCAGTCTCCAAAAAAAGAGTTTCTGCTGAATGATGAGCTTGGATTACACTGGGTCCTTCTTTGGAGCTAATTAAAGAAATTTTTCCTTTTCCTGTTTCTTGTTTTGTACCAAATCTCAGAGACCACTGTTCGCTTGCTTTATACTTCTGTGTAACATCCCCATTTGCATTTCATTATTTTGTGATTTGATTTTGCACTAAAAATGTTTGACTTTTCATTAACCAGCCATCTTATCAATAGTACTGGCTTTTAATAAGATAAATATTTTATATTCTTTGTTTTTTTGTGAATGTGTATATTTGTGATAAAATGTCTTTTTCCAAGACTGGAATATATTTTGATATCTGTGTGTGTATATATATATATATATATATATTGGATATGAACAGGTTCATTCTTCTCACCACTGAAACGTACTTAGATTGCTGTCAACATAAAAACACGCGGGTTCTCATGACGTGATTTGAGTTTTTACAAATGTTTTTACTAAATCTTATCACACAATGTGCCTTTAAACCGAGTATGGAGAAGATGAAAAGCACAGAAACACTTCAGTCATTTGATACTGTATCTTGACAACAATGTCAGGACTCGGACAAGCTTTCTTACTGAAAGATTTGATTTATAAAGTGTTCTTTTGTGATATCACTCATTCCTCTTATGTTGTTGTTATTCTGAAATGAATTTGTGTTGTTCATATGAATACCTGAATATTTTCAATAAAGATTATTTTCATACCCAGAAGAGTTGTTCTTAGTCTCTGTATGTCTGTTTAGTTTCTGGAACAGAGGTAGAGCAAAAAGAGGAAGTCCTCCACTTGTGAAAAAGGACTTTACAATATACAATGGGAGAGCACCTGGACTTTTGTATGTGTAATAAAGCCAACTTTTGTGCTATTGTTGATCAGCAATGTTAAAGTGATAGTCAAGGTGGAGCTGCAACTGGATTATTATTATGAAGCAGTTAATGAATGTCAATGAGTGTAAAAAACAAGGAAGTTACAGCAGGTTCAATCAATTCCTCAGCTTTGGCAGAGGTTTAATGGTGGGGTGAGTCATCAGTCTGAGCGTTAGCCATTTCAAAAGAATCATAAAACCAAAGAATGATTAACAAGTATGCAGTATGCAACATGAGTGTATAAAGATTTAGGGCCAAATTATTTTTAAAGTTACAGTATATATATACTTGTTTACATAGAAAACTAAAATATACTAAAATACTTTGAACTTTTAGCACAAAAATATTGGTTTAACTGTGCAGATATGCAAGTATCCCAAATGTTTGGAAAATCTTTGTGGCCTCCACCTTCTGCTCTCCAAGACTGTGCTCCGAGACCTTATTGTTTAGAGCTCATATATGGTCAGTCCTTGTATTAAAACCTTGGAGGATACTTTTCAGTGACTTGAGAGCAACACTAAAAAAACAAACTTGTTCATATAGTGTATCATATTGCAGTCCACAATAAATAGCTGTGACATGATGAAGTTGTTGTAAAGATAAAAGATAAAATTCAGGGCCTCATCGTGCGGAATTTAAAGAAGGAAGATAAGAAATTAAAGATAACAGCAACAATGAATTTAAGTTTGGTGACATCATGCACTCATGTGGTTCACAGCAGAACTTCCCTGGAAAATGAAAAACAAACAAACGATGTCAGACTGTTTAATATGTTGTATTTTTGGTGACTTTATCTTTATTTTGATTTGGAAACCAACATGTGCAGTATTTACAGCTCACAAGGCGTCAGGGAAATACAGTTTCAAATGTACATTTTTATTACCATCACAAAAGCTACAATTTGTAAACAAATTGAATTTATATTAATGAATAACTTGATAAAAGCATGACAAAATAGAAATGAAATGTATCAAACAGAAAAACAACTGTGAAACACACGCAAAGTACCAGCACATCTCCATGAATCTGGGTGCACAAGCCTACTCTTCCCGACACCCAGATATTCCAACAATGACAGCCACAGTGAAAGATATGGTTCCAGCGATGACGATGATTGAAACAGCAATGACAGTCACTTCTGTGCTGAGCTGAAATTCACAGATACAATGGTGAAAAACAGATGTGGCCATTTTTACTGTATTCTTGGATTTCTTCTGGTGAAGATAGTTGTCATGATAATACAAAATGTTCAAATCAAAACGTGTTGTATTGCCATAATGTGAACAGGCTCTCACCATTCGCTTCCCTTCCTCGCCACTGTTTGAACTCTCTGTAACAGGAAAAAAGTAAACAATATCATTTTGTTCTTCATAAGAATCCATACAGTATTTAATACATAATATTATATTCAAACAGAGCTATATTACTAAGTCATTCACCTGTTTTGACTCTCTTCAGTCTTGTATGTTTGAGAGTTCTGGATAAGAAAACCCAGATGATTGCAAACAGAAAAACCCACACGGCGTAAGCGACCGTCACTTTCAGAAGCCAAGACTCTCTCATGTTGTGCCTGCATTTGTCTATCTTCAAAACACCAATAATGACGATGGCAACTGTGTGTAAAACAGATTTGGAAATGAAATCAGAGAAATAAACAGGCAACGGCAACTCTCTGAAGAGATGGTGTGAGCTGTGACATTGTGTTAGCCTCTCTCTCTGATGTTTAAAAGCAATAGTACGATAGGTTGGTAAATGTGCTTAAAGCGTTCTTTAAGAGTTAGATAAGAAGGTGTATACCACTCTCATATTTGTCTGGTAAATATACAGTGACAGACAGCAGTTGGTTAGCTTAGCATTAACACAAAGATGGGGGAAATGGGGAAGCAACCAGCCTGGCTCTGTTCAAAGGTCTGCCTATTGTGAAACTCTTATGCTCACCAATCAACATCTCTTATCTCATTTGTACGATTGGTACAAAACTTGAAGTGTAAATATGTCAAGTTGCAGTTTTACAGGAGTTTATCTGTGAACATTGCTTGGCCTGAAACAGTAACAAATAAGAAAGAGCGTTAATTAGTGAGTTTTAAAGGTGCTAGTAGGCAGCTTTTGTTACCGTCGGACAGAGTCAGGCTAGTTGTTTCCCCCTATTTCCAGTTTTTGCTCTAAGCTAATCAAATCAAATGCTTCTCCAGTTATTTACCTGATACACATGAAACTGCTTTCAGTCTTCTCATCCAACTCCCAACAAGAATGCAGATTAGTGCATTTCCCAAAATGTCACACTATTGCTTTCAATACATTAAACAAGAAGTCTTCTCACAGACCAGAATGCATGCACCAAAGTTTAGAATTTTGAATTTCCTTACTTGCAAAAATCTCATGAATGACAAAACACACTTTGGCAGCAAGGTCACAGCTGTCCTTTCTGGAACAGAGCAAAAGAAAAACAGTAGTGCACAAAGTGTTGATGTAAAGGTCAAGTCAAATATTCAGGCAGAAGAAGAGGTGTTGAACTTACAATTCATGAGTGGGTCCAAATGGCAGAGAAACGATTACTAGATCTATGAAATTAATCACTATAACCACAAACAGAAGAGCTGCAAGAATGACCTAAACATACACACACAGAGGAGACATACACACACACACACACACACACACACACATTGAAAATAACCTTAGAGCAATTCAGAAATTTCAATATAGATAAAAAGAAGTGTTGCAAACTGCTGATTATTACTCACATCATGGGAATCCCCCATATATACTAGATTCACAGCCAATATTTCAACTGCTGCACAAAGCACACAGCACATTATCTTGAACCCCTAAAAAAAAAATAACATGCACTTTAAATTATTTCAATGAACCTGAATAATTAGTTTGAATCTAGTGTTTGTTATTAAAGATTCAGATACTGTAAATAAGCACAGGCTACTGACTGAGCCTACAAATGCCGTATAGCATTACAGACGATGCTGCTTTGCAATGCAATGCTTTTCCCTAGATGGGCTTTTATATTTAACAAAAATAAGTTACATTGACAAAAAGACATAAAAAAAATCTTAAGAAAAATATGCATACAAAATGCAAAACAGAAAATGAACAAAACATTTAAATGAGCACCACTAACTAGAAAACATTTACCAATAAATATCTTCAAATCAAACCCCCCTTTTCTATACTACTTCTGGTAGGCATTTTTTTTTCTGCAAAAGTCATGCACTGTAATTAAATTCTGTAATTATCTATACAGTTGTAGTTTTTATTGTTAGTGGTGGTTTCAGCCTCTCTCAGCGTCCATTTCAGCATCTCTGCAATTCAATTTACGCAAGGCGGTGCAAGATGAGGACATCTAGTACCAGTAACTATGACAACAACAGCCCCAAAACCCTTACCTTACTTTCAGGAGATTGAAGGTGGCCGTTGAAGATGGTGACAATGTTTGACAGTTCCTGACAAGAGACAGGGTGAGAGAGCAATTTATCTTCTTCATGTATAGATAGATTTTTTTGACAACAGAGTCTCACCATACTACAAAAGTTTATAAATACAATACCATTTCCACTTGTTTAAAAGAACAGCTGACACTTGTCAGAATAGGAATGGCCTAAAGATAAAAGAAAGAGACACGATTATTTCTTTTAGGTCAGAATCTTGTCTATTGCACTTGCTGTAATACTTGTAATAGGAGATAAACTGCTCATACTTGCCTTTTGAAGTATTATTCTTGGAATTGGCCCAGGTCCTGGTGCTGTAGTACTTGGTTTTGTAGTATTTGAAGTACTGGGCTTTGTAGTACTTGCTGCAGTACTTGGTTTTGTAGTTCCTATAGTACTGGGCTTTGTAGTACTTGCTGCAGTACTTGGTTTTGTAGTACCTATAGTACTGGGCTTTGTAGTACTTTCTGCAGTACCTGGTTTTATTGTACTTGAAGTACTGGGCTTTGTAGTACTTGCAGTAGTACTTGGCTCTGTTGAACTTGCTGTAGTGCCTGGCTTTGTAGTACTTGGCTCTGTAGTACTTTTAGTACTTGGCGCTGTAGTAGTTGTAGTACTAGGCTTTGTAGTACTTGTTGTAGTACTTGGCTCTGTAGTACTTGTTGTACTTGGCTCTGTAGTACTTGTAGTACTAGGCTTTGTAGTACTTGTAGTAGTACTTGGCTTTGTAGTACTTGTAGTAGTGGGCTTTGTAGTACTTGTAGTAGTACTTGCAGAAGTACTTGGCTGAGTAGGTAAAATGACCTGCGCATCCACTGGTCTCCAGAATTTCCAGAAAGACTCAACAAATGTGGCTCTGAAACGTATCAGACAGGAACAGATGTTAATGTAAATCCTTTTGCTCCTCATTGTAATATAAAGTGAAACTGGAGCAGCTGAGTTTGGTTCTTAGGTTTTACAGGAAAGTTTAAGTGTACAAAATACTTTAAAAGTTACCTGAAAGTGATGTCTAGCTTTGCGCCCTCTGCTGTCCAGTTAACTCGCACCGAAGTCTTTTTTAGTTTGTTGTCCTGACGAACAACCGAGTCCTGAGGACAGTCACATAAGTAACCCGTCACATCCATAAGACAGCGTAATAAGGCTTTGACTATGAATCCACACTTCAAGTTCATTTAAATTTGTTTTTTGATATAGCAATTGAAAGTATGAATATTGACTTAAATCAATTCATTGCTTTTACTACCTCTAATAATGATTGAACGGGATGGTTACTCACTAGTAATCCATTGCATGACTGGAATTGAGTCGTAGAAGAATCAAGTATGATAAATTTTCCAACAGAACGCTCAAGATTGCCTGTCTTTCGAGCCTCCAACAAAAATCCCCGGAATTTAGTGGTGTTGTTGCTTCTAAGAAAAACTGAAAAATGGTTTGAAGATTCATCAGTGTGATGGTGGACGAAAATGAAGACAGAGATAATGATAACCTTGCTATAATGCTAAAAAAGTAAATGACCACTGCAGCAAAGATTTATAGTGATAAACAATCATCCAGGAAAAGGGGATTGACAGTCCTGTACCTGTAATAGGCTCTCCATCATTCCCAAGTTCGTAATGGACCTCAAAGGGTAGTTCAGAGCTCTGGGGATTAACAAGATTATTTGTTCTGTCCCTGTGCTCAGGTAACATTGAATGACACGACTGTGGGAAGGGACGGTTTGCAAACCCTTGCACCTTTGAGATGAAGCAAAGACCAATCAAGATCCACATCCACATCTGGAAAACAAGGGTGCAATACTATTGGTAAATGCCATAAACTAAATGTCATCAACATATAGTCACTGAAGATGAATAAACTTAGCTTGAAACACTGTCACAGTGATAACCACAGTCACCACATAAACTTACTCTTGGTATCAATCAAAAATGTGTGTATGATTATTTATTTTTTATAATAGAAGTAATTTAAACCAAATTAGACATAAAAGTAAATAGCAAGGATTTTTGGAGATCTCTTTGACATTTCCATGACAGTTTCATTCAAATTCAAACTTGGAATTATAGCTTTTTAAGACTTCAGTGGCAAATATTAAATATATAATGATAGTAACAATTATTCTCTTACCTTGAAAGAAAGAAATTTGTTTACAACATCTAGTACCATGAAACGATCACTTAAGATGTTGAACTACAACTATGGACTCTCAGTGAAAACAAGGGAGAATTTCTGCTAAAGTCCCTTCAAGAAAAACTGAAATCTTGTGAACGTCTCTGTAGACAGGACTCCTCCTTCCAGGACAGTAAGGTATGCAATGTGTGCTAGGGAACAACTCAGCGGACCGAATGAGGAAGTCAGAAAGGGCTGAACCTACCTACATGCGCAAGTGAAATGATTAACAAAATGCAGCTTCACTTTATATCTGATCAGACCTACTGTATATCTCAGATTAGTCTCATAGTTTGTTTCCCAACAGCATACAGTTTCCTTATTTGCTCCAGTCTTTCTCAAAAGAGATTTCATGACAGGAAATGTCTTTATTGATTATTGTTGTTTGGAAAGTGTGTGTGTGTATGTTGTGTGTGTGTGTGTGTGTGTGTGTGTGTGTGTGTGTGTGTGTGTGTTTGCCTACGTCCGAATCAAGAAGCAGATGATACTGTTATAAGAGGGGCTTTGGGGTTTTACAATTATAGCACAGAAAGTGTCATTGCTCTGTAGTCAGCTAAATAAATATATTGTCATTGTGCCAGGCAAATGTGATGCAGACAAATCACAACTACGCAAACACACAACACCCAGAGTTATAGATAAATAGATTTGATCATGTTGAGATAAGCCCACAACCTTTGTAGGAATTCTAATACTGCTGATAACACTGCACACAACATAAATTCAACTCAAAATAGGTCCCTGATGAATAACTCAAATCAAAGTCAATTCAAAATCAATCTATAAGGACTTCATGCTTCATTTACATATAATTTGGTATTTTAGTAGATTTTAGTTGTATTTTGCAGTATAACACGTTTAAAGCATCATCAGTCTTTATTTGGCTGAGTATAGGGCCGCAGCAAAATGTAAAGTTATTCCAATGTATAATTGTTGACAGTATTATGAATGCTTTCAGTGCTAACACTGTTAATGATGAATCAGCAAAGCCACATATGAGCATAATAATGATCACTCTGATCATCTATGCAGATTGTTGGAAATGCAGATTTAGCTGTTTATAGTCATATCTCAACCATTTGGACGAGGCGCATAATGAAAAAGAAGAACCATGTGGTCAGTTTAAAAAATCATTGTCAGTTGATTTTAATTGCACAAAGGAACGAAGAAATGCAGTTTTTCAGAATTGACCATATGAAAACAAAAAAAACATTAACAAACAACATTTTTAACAAAGTCCTTGCAATTAATGACAATATATGTAAAAAAAAACATGTTTAGCTATTGTATGTAATGAAACAGTCAGAAAATTTATAGGAAAAAAATCATGATAAGCAATAAGTAAGAACTCATTTATATTTATAATTAAGCATCATTGGCACTGTGACGATATTTACTATAGTAGCGCCACTTCCACAGCAACAAATTCCTATTTTCACATGCTCATTAAAAACATGACCTCCTTTAAAACTGCCAGTAATTAACTTCATCCTATACAAGCTACATGTTATGAAAAAGGTTTAACACAGCGACACACATCCAACAGTAAACAGCAAAAGTCACATTTGAATTTTGAGTGCAGCATGCAAACTGCAACATATGAGCCAAGTGGATCCTACCAAATACACACTGAATGCATTTTTAAAATCAGTGATGCACAAGCAAATTCAAGAAAAATGATATAATTGAACAGCAACTAGTACATTGATCCGTGTGAGATGAAGTTCTGCACTCTAGCCTGCTGTTCCTCGACTGGATTTGACTTACTGAACATTTGGTGCAGCATTGATTTCAAATGACTTCTAAACTTCACACCAACAAACACATAAAAGACAGGGTTCAGGCAGCAGTGGGAGAAAGCAATGAGTCGGCACACATAGAACGCATAATCAATCTGGATGCTCAACTCACAGTTATCAAATGGTGGCACCAAATTGTCAGCCAAAGTCTTCAGAAAGATGACCACATTGTATGGCACCCAGCCGATGAAGAACACAGCCACGATACAGAAGACTAACTTAACTGCTCTGTTCTTTGTGTGGGATCTTGTTTTTGTGATTTTTCCCAGTATTTGGATGTAGCAGAAACCCACCACCACAAAAGCAACCATGAAGAAAATATTCTGTTGGGAGACAGCTATGATTTCCCACATGATGGTTTGGCATTCACAGCCCATAGAGTGTTTACCCTTGTGGGGGATCCTGACGAGAGAGCTGTAGAGCAAAGAGGGCAAGGCTGCTCCAATACTGATTATCCACATTAGGAAAGACAGAAAAACGCCAGTGCTGAATTTTGGTGTGCTTAGGTCAGAGAGAGGGTGGACAACGGCCAGATACCTGTAGATGGTCATGATGGTCAAAAAGAGGATGCTGCTGTAAAACCCAGTGAAGAAGACGAAAGTTACAATTTTGCAGAGAATCTCTGAAAACACCCATCCCCAGATGTAGTAAATGGCCCAGAAAGGGAGACCGGTGGTGAAGACGAGGTCAGAGATGGCCAGGTTGAGGATGAAAATGTTGGTGAAAGACTTCAGGTTTTCGTACAGAGCCAGGATTACAAGGACGAGGATGTTCCCTGTGAGGCTCAGTGTTATCACAACAGAGAAGAAAACAGGAATGGCGATGGATCCAAATTTGACCACCGAGCCTTTTTCACAGACTTCATCTTCATAGTCGTAATCATATGTGCTGTTATTTAAACTGTCATTCATTGCTGTTGAACTCGGATCTAGAAAACAAATACAGGATTAGTGCATGCATTAGTGCAGGTTATTTTTGCCTTACACATGATTACTTTCAGCTTTACAGTGACTGAGTGACTGAGTGTTGTAGCTTTAGTGATTTCCTTCTTTTGTAAGTCCCTTTGGATAAAAGCATCTGTCAAATGAGTAAATGTAAATGAGTGTACACATTATAGACTGTATATAAAGTACAGATATGGAGGATGCACCTACCAACATGTTACACTGGAATTCCTTTTGTGAGCACAAAATAGTATTGTAAAGAAAAAAAAAAAGAACTACCTCCTGTTCGATGGGACTGATATGTTGTTGGATGTGATGCTTTCCCTCTTCTCACAAGAGAACTCAGAAAGGGGTAGCTTTAATAATCTAATTTCTGTTCCTAGTTCTGGTTTCACCAGACTATGTCCTCAGCTCTGCTTACGCTACACATCTATTCAAAAATAGATTTGCCAATTATCTAATCATAAAAAGCAAGGTCTTAAAGATTCACCTGTATAGAATATGTTTTGATAGAAATCCCAGGATCAGATGTCTCAAAATATGGGCAAGTAAAACCAAAATCATATGCATGACTAGATATTGCTATAGAGGTAAGGAAAAGAAAATGTGTTTTTGTAGTTTGACTGACACTGTAACATATGAGACTTAAGAAATGACACTTGAGCTACTATAGGAGCTTAGTTTTACACTTTTGCAATATTCAGGCACTTGTGAGAAACAGATTTGAAAAAAACAAACAACAAAAAACAAAAAGCTCCATAAGCTCTGGATCCTATATGTGCAATAACGCAAGCAATAACATAAGATTTCAAGTGTTTTGACAGACTTGACATAGCTCTGCCAGACCTACCAAAAACACTGCTTTCAGATGCAGAGTACTACTTTACACAATAAACTGATCTTTCTGTGTAAAATGTCCATGGTAATGTCCTCCATGCTATTTTGTTGCTAGGTAGCCTATCACAATATACTGTATAGGCCGCACATAGGCTTTAGTTATCATAAAAGCCAGTATAAACTTTTAGTATGGTGCACATGGATCAAGTTGTCATACATTGATTATGTTTTAAAGATTTGTATCAAGATCTCAACAAGGTCATGTATACCAATCTCTCCAGTTATATCTGAAATATCTATGATTAGCTGTGAATTGAACAAACGCACCACAGCAAAGTGGGACACGCATTTAAGTATGTCATTGATCACATGACACCTCTGTTTACTCTGCTACGGCAACCAAACTACGCAGTAACTAGATCCCGCCTACCAACCTCGTAGCCATTGGCCCGATGGCTACATGTCGCTTCGTCAGTGGATGGGACAGCATCAATCATGACAGTAACAACAAGTTTGTGTGCAGACACAAACGTCCTGGGTTGTTATGGGCTTGAGTCATACCTGTAAAAGTATGTCAAAGTTATTATTCTTTTCTTCGTTTTCTACATTCAACTACCTCGTAACATATAACATTATCTAAACTATCGTGTCTCGCTGATGTCACGGTTGTTTTCAAAATGTCTGTCAAGTGATCAGTGTCAAGCTAAATATAACTGAGACAACTTAAAAAGACAAAAGTGTCGTCTTTACAAACTTCAACTGACAAATTCGTCAGTTTATTTGTATTACAAAGATGTTAGAAAATTAATATTAGCACTGTAAGAGCCGATAGTCGGCTTTTTATAGCCGTTATCGAGGTTTTCAGAACTTAAAGTAGTGCTAGCTGTTAGCTTAACAAATCCAACGTCAAACAAAGTTTAACTTCAACTATAGCGTGAATAATTGTGTGTTAAAATTTAGGGTGTTAGTCTTACATGGCCACAATAAAACCACAATTACATCGTTATATTTAGATGCCTTACATGTCTATTTATGAAATGCTTTGTTTACTTCCTCATAAACAAGAGGTGACAGGAGATAACGTTTACACCTACATAACATCCTGTAATATCTGCTATAAACACTCTCTGTGAATGTCATAATTTTAGTTGTCATTGTGTCAGAGAGGTGTTAACTCCACTCCATTGTAATCCTAGCGGCAATGATTTGTGGTATTTTATGAAGACTAGACATTACAAGCTTCTCACAAGTGTTCATTTTATTGGGTCCACCAACTGTTTTTATTCTGCAGATTTTGTAGAGGAGATTCTGTACATGTCTGCTACAAACCAGTGACGTAATACACAGAATATTATAATGAATTTTATATGAAAGTATAGGTAATTCTCAGACACCAAATGGTTATATAAAAGTGTGAGAATTATACATTTTGCAATATGTATGCCCCTGTCTTATGGGTAATGAAAGTAGATTTTAGTGAAGTAAAACTCTGTCCAGATAGCTTCCCAAGGTCCATTGACATTTTCCAGCACATCATGCAGTTTGCAGTTAACATGGCAGGTTGACTTACATGCATCTGTGACCAACCTACAGACATTATGGACCAACCAGAAGCGGCATCCTGACCCAAAATTCAAGAAGCAGGACGTTTTGACTATTGTTGCTCATACAGTGATCAAATTGTTAGGCAAAAAAGGCTAATCTAACCCTTTGATAAATCATCAAATCAAGTCTGAAATCTTCATCTGTTGCAGTTATGTCAGAGTTTAATTCAATTTTTAGCTGTTAAGGAGTGTTTCATTGAATGTTACAGAAACAAAGATGCATCATTTGACAGATAGGAATAAAGAATTACAGTTTAATAGTAGGTGGTAGTTAGAAAATCAGAATGTGTAGAGTGACATTATTACATATGCAGGTCATAAAGGTCAAACTGCTTATATGATAGACCATTATATCTCTGGCAGACAGGCTTTCACGTCTAAGAGATGCACTTTCTGCACAGAATTGGTCAATGCACTCATCATGAGATGAGTCAAAAAACTCTCTATGTTTAGCAGAATTGTGTGTATAAGTTTGCCCATGCATGAGAGAGTATGTTGGACTATTCATGTCAGTCTTTTGTTCCTGACTGATTCTGATTCTCTGATTCAGCAGACTGTATGTGACCCTGCGACCCCTGGTTGCCAGGGAGAGAGCGGTGGGGCCATGGCTACTGGGGCTACTGTTGGGGAGAGCCAACTCCAGAGGATTATCCGAGATCTGCATGGTACGCCAGCTTTGTGTGTGTGTGTGTGTGTGTGTGTGTGTGAATAGACTGGCAGCAGGCAGTTGTTGGCTGACATGGTGTGACTGAAGAGCAGAGAAAGGAGTCAGAGAGGTTTGCCGTGATGTCATGACCTCGGTCTCTTTGTCGAGTCTGAGAGTACAATCTTTAAGCCTGGAACTATCTGACCTCTGCGGGTCATCAAATCATTTGGGAAAACGTACATCTGACCTCATGTTTGTGTAGTAAGGGCGTGGTGGAAACCTCTGTCAGCATGCAGCGAGACAGAGAGTGTGGGCTAAGGGTGCACCCCTCACGGGTGTCCTTCCAGTTTTTACGATGGATACGAGGCAAGTTTTTGATGTGTGATTGTGCTTGAAGAGGGTGACACGGGAGGTTTGGGTGCACTGGAAATGCAGTCCTTTTGCCAAGGGATCTTTCTAAAGAAGTATAATTTTCCTGTTTTTTCCTGTTTGCTTTCCTGCTTCCTGTGTCACTGATTACAGCACTAGTGTACTGACTGCATGAACCCTAGATGTTAAAATACATTTTTTTTATGTATTTATCTTAGTCAAGTATCTTTTAAATGTTTTTCCTAAATTAATGTTGGTGTTACTTGTTATTTGAGAGATATTTATTCGTCTTTGAACTCATATCTGTAAATTTCAGAGGCTGTTGCTGAGCTTGCAAAGGAGTACAGGGAAAGTGGAGAGCCAATCACAGATGACAGTACCAACCTGCACAAATTCTCCTACAAACTGGAATACCTGCTACAGGTATGAATCCCAATTATTCACTGAGGATGTGAAAAAGTAATTTGATTTCAAATGAGATACCACTAGTTTGAAATATAAAGCAGATAAATGCTTACAAAACACAGAGCCTTGCATCATCAGTTGTTTTGTCATTGGATTACTACACTTTTTTTGATGGACTGTAAATTCATGATGCTGCATTAAACACTGTTTGGAGAAGAACCCTTTAAAATGCTTCTTTTTCTTCACATTTTATGTCTTAAAAGTGACTCAAAAATAATCTACATTTAGCCACATGTATCTTTCTTTCAGTTTGACCAGAAGGAGAAGACCACATTTCTTGGTACAAAGAAGGACTACTGGGATTACTTCACTGACTGTCTGGCTAAAATAAAAGGGGCCAATGATGGGATCCGCTTTGTCAAATCCATCACTGAAGTATTAAGATTTTTTTTATTGTTTTAGAGTGACACCACTAATGTAGCATTAATAATATCTGATTACCTTTCAAACCATTAGAAAGTAGAAATAATCTATTTTGCCCTCTTTCAAAATGACCCAAAGCACTTTTCTCACCTTTTTCTTTCTCATCTCTTATTGAACAGACACAACACAAAATACACACAGAGTCGTTCTGTTCATAGTTTAGTGCTTATCTTATATGGGTTCCAAAACAAATCCAAGAAATCAATCTAAGTACTGGCACTGATGTGCTGCATCCCTGTATTTGTGATATAAAAGCAACATACTGTGTGCTGTAATTGTAACATGTTAGGATTATTTTGTGTCGTTTTTTCTCCTTTTTAATTTTATGTGTTTGTCAGGAAAAATGACAAAATTGTAGGTGTTGCATTAGAACAGGCTTTAATTGGATATGTTCAGCATTGTTTGGACAAGTTGAGCAGCAAATAATGAAACAATTAGTTATTTAAAAACATTATGTATAACTAGGTCTTCTTCTGCTTTGATAGCTGAAGACATCTCTGGGGAAGGGACGAGCATTTATTCGCTACTCCCTCGTACATCAGCGACTGGCTGACACGCTCCAGCAGTGCCTGATGAACCAGAGAGTCACCAGGTAAAACTGTCAGACACTAATGAAGTAGAACCCTGTTTTTGGATTTCAAGGTCTGTGAAACTTGGACAGAGGCTATGAAACACCTCATTTCCCCTTTCTGTGAAACAGGCATGTTGCTTCAGTAGAAATAGTGGTCAGTAGTAGAATGTAAAGAACAGTTTAATAGGGAAGAAGTATTACGTGACTGTTTTCAATGGCTTACCAGAAATCAGAACAGGTGTGTGTAGTGTTGTAGATACGCCTGGTACAATATAGAGAAACTATAAAGAAGAATCTTAACCTTAAAGAGGATCATCACTGTTATTTGGTGCTAAAGATGTATTATAACATATTACTGAAGAATGGCCTAATTTCCTGGTTGATGTCAATTTCCTCCTATGAGTTTTAAGGGTCAGACAAAACTTCCTTCATCAGCCACTATAATCGTTCCGCTATGATTTTATTTGACCTCTTCCTCGTTTCCAACAGTGACTGGTACTATGTACGAAGCCCCTTCCTGAAGCCCCACCTCAGTGTTGACATCATCAGTCACCTGTATGAACTCAATGATGTCCAGTTTGATGTGGCTTCCAGAGGATATGATCTTGATGCCTCCTGGCCCACATTTGCAAGGTAATGGACACAAAAAATCTTGAAAACATGTAGAGAGAATAAAACAAATGAAAATGATCTTTCAGATATCTAAATAAGCATTAAGATTTGGTCACAGACACTAATACAGCCTTCCCTTTGCACTGGCTTTAGTTGGTTTAGTCAAGATGTGTGATATTTACCAATGTTTAAAGTATTACATTTCTTTTCTTTCTTTTCTAATCAACAGGAGAATGCTTGGAAGTGCAAACTCGCCCGGCCATATGTGGAAACCACCCAGTCGCAGTTCCAGCATTAACAGTCTGGCCAGTACCTACTCCCAGGTAACTGACCTGTGTCTCTAATAATGTCCTGTCATTTCACCATAATTTGTAATTAATAATAATTATTACAGGATATTCTTCCCCCTCTTCTCCTCTGGTTCCTCTTACAACCATCTAGCAAGCACCTGAGTTCCCTTCTAGCCCTGATTATGGTCACAGTCTGCTGAACGACCTGAATGAGTCCCTGCCTGCCTGCACCGAAGATGTCAGCACAGTTGACGACCTCCGCCTAGAGCTGGACCAGTCAGAGCTTAAACAGCGGGAACTCCTCGATAAGGTGCAGCAGCTGGGCGAGGAGGCTGCAGAGCTCAGGGGCGTAGTGGTGGAGCTTCAGAGGCAGCTGGATGTGTCCTTTGCTGCCCAAGAGGAGCAGCGGGGCTTGCAAGGAGAACTCAAGGCTTCGCAGGAAAGAGAGGGGGCCATGTCGAGGGAGGTAGAAGCACTCAGGACTAGGGAGAAAGCCATGGATGCTGAACACCGCCTGCTCCAGGAAAAGTTGGGAGCTGCTGAGGGGAAGAACATAGAGCTCATGGCCAAGTTGGACGGAGTTCTGAATGAGAAGGGCCAGCAGGCGGCCAGCTACTTTGATTCTGCACAAAAGATACACGAGTTGCTGGACAGATTGAAAGAGGCAGAGAAAGGGAAGATGGAAGCTGTAGCAGAGGCAGAGGAGAAGAAGAGGCAGGCAGAAAGGCTAGAGGAAGAGCTGAGAGTCAAGGAGATAGCTGCAAAGGATGGTGAAACAAAACTCGGAGCATTAGTTACATCTGTGTCTGAGGAGAAAGCCAAGTTGGAGTTGAAAGTGGAAGAACAGTGTAGTGCCCTTGACAAGCTGCAGGGGGCCTTGACATTGAGAGAGAAGGAGGCGAACAACCTACAAAGGCAGCTGCAGGACCTCCAAAGATGTCTTGAAGAGAATGAGAAAGAGGTGGAGGTGGTGAAGAGGATGGCGCAAGAAGATAAAGATGAAATGCAGAAGAATGTTAGTAGCTTAAAAGAGACTTTAGAAGCAGAAGTCACCACTCTCAAAGAGCAGGTGGAAAAGAAACAAGCAGAGCTAACCTCCAACCACAAGACACTACAAAAGCTAGACGCCAAGAACCAAAGCCTCAACACAGAAAGGGAAAAACTGACAACTAGGCTTGCTGAGCTGGAGGGTAACGTCAAAGAACACACAACAAAGATAGAAGACTACAAGACACAGTGTGCCAATTTAATGGACCTGAATGGGAAGCTGCTGGCGACGGTGAAGAGAAATGAGGAGTTGAAGAAGGAGATGGCAGACAACAGAGCATTGCTTGACGCTGAATTAGCATCTCTAAGGGCTTCTGAGAAACAGCTTCGAGGCCAGCTGGATGATACCAAGGTGACAGTGGATGAAAAAGAGAAGCGGTTGCGTGAGGAGAACCGCAAGTTGGATGAGAGTCTGCAGCGAGCCACCATGGCCGCAAAGCTCTCAGAGACCACGTCAAAGCGGCTGGAGCAGGAGAACCAGAGTCTGAGAGAGGAGCAGGACACTGTGAAAGCAGCTCTTAGTCGCATGCAATCGGACCTGAAGAGTGTTCACGGGCAGATCGGAGAGTTGGAGAAGAATTTAGGAGCTTCACGTAAGAATGAAGCCAGTCTTCAAGAACAGCTCCAAAGCAAAGAGGCCCAGCTAGGGAGTAAAGAGAAGAACCTTGTTGAGCTGCAGTCCAGGTTAAAAGCTCTGGAGGCCAGAGAGAAGGAGCTTGAGACCGCCAAAGCTGATGCAGAAGCAACCTGTGCTAAACAGACGGAAGTGATTGAAAGGGTGACCTCTGAGAAGCAGGCGATAGAGAAATCTCAGCTGGAGAGGACTGCTGTGCAAGTAAAGGAGAACCAAGAAGTGACAGGCAAACTGACTGTTGTTGAGAGCCAGTTGGAGGTGAACATGAAAGAAGTGTCCAGGCTCCAGGCGGAGATCCTGGACCTCAGGGTCCAGGCACAGAGGTCTGGGGAGGAAAAGCTGAAATCCCAAGCACAGCTGGAGGTGACGCAAGCCCAAAGAGATGAGCTCAGGACTCTGACTGAGCAGCTTAAAGCTCAGACAGAGGCACTGAATCAGAAGCATGTAACGGAGCTTATGGAGTGCAAAAAGAAAGAAGAGGCACTGATTGAACAGCGTGACAGTGAAGTAGCTGCCCATGCCGAGCTGGCTATCTCTGCAGCTGCCATCCGTGAAGAGCTGTCCACACTCAAGTCAGAAAATGACAGGCTGGTCCTAGAGAACAGTGAGACACGTGAGGGTCTGCACAGGGCCAACACAGAGATGGCAGAGCTGGGGATGACCATCTGTAGGCTAAGTGCAGAAAAAGAAGAGGCCAGAGAGCACTGGGCAGGCGACGCTGCCAGGATTGAAGAGCTGCAGAAAATGGTGGAGCGACTAGAAGAGTGCATGACAGAACTGCGACTGGAGAATAACAGACTAAGAGAGGAGCTAACACAGAAGGAGACACTTCCAGGGACTGTCACAGAGCTCCAGGAGCAACTGCAAAAGGCCAAGAATCAAGTGCAGAGCGCCAAGGACTCCAGCCGTGAGGAGATGGAGGCCGTCAAATTCCAGATGAGCTCAGAGAGCATGAATCATCAGACCCAAATGAAGGTGAGTTAGTCAGAACCTGTCAATTATGCCTTTTTATTACACTCATTTCAAATTGTTTTTTTGCATTTTCTGACTTTTAGCAATGTAGTTTTTAGTTTATTGTGTCCAAATATTCAGTTATCCTTTTATCAACGCTAGCAGCATTGCTCTAGGAATGGCAATTTCGATCTGTGTCTTGGTCCACCACTTCCGTCCAAACTGTAATACAATATCTCAACAACTACTGGATGGAATGCCATGAAGTATGACACAGACAGTTGATATCTTCTTCCCATTTTCTTATGTTATTATGTTACTGTCACATTTCAGAGTGTCAATGAACAGCTGGACAAGGTGAAAGCCCAGCTGCAGGAGGAGCTGAAGAATGTATCCAGCTTGCAGGCCAAAGTGTTTAAACTAGAGGTGTGTCTCTTTACAGCATCAATTAAATCATGGTTACATAATAAGGACACACATGGTGGTGGAAGAATGGGGTCTTTAATCTCTGGAGAGTACCTACTTTTACAGAGACATACTGGTATATAAAAATACACTGCCATCAGAGAAAAGAATCTGTGCTGTACCTGTGATGTCCTCACTTTTTCTACAGAAAACCATATATGATTAAGGGAAGACTGTAGATAGATAGCTGTCAGTAGTGCAAGATAAGCATAATATGTAAAAATAACCTGGAACACCTCTATCATTAGTGGGTTTGCAGAAGGGGTGGGAAACAGGAAACTACTCACTCCATGGGACATAATAACCTGCTGATTACTTGATGATGATTATGAGAGACTCCTTGATTGCTTGAATAATTGTCTTTGAACGCAGAGTAGATTAGATGCAAAATACAGGTATAGATGCAATATAGATACAGATGCAGTGTACTGGCCCTAATCAAATGAATAGTTCCATGATTGAGATATTTCCTCTATGGTAAGATGTCTTTATAGATCAATACAATATGATTTGATTATGAAGGATGTTTTTTAGATTTAAATGAGATTGACTGGCTCTGTCTGTTATTGGATGTTACTGAATGACGTGTTTCTATATGCTGTCTGGGGCAAGATGCATATGAAAAATTATATTATATTACATAGGCTATATAACAGGAAGAGAAAATAGTAAGATTTTCTTACATAAACACACTAATACACACAATACAATTTACATCCCTCTGAAATTAAAATTTTGTTGGACCAGTTAAGACACTAACTTAATCATATTTTTTCAGCAGTGTGCAGAAATTTAGGAACAGAACCAAATGAAAATCAAGTGTCAAAAAAATTTGTACTGATGGATATTTTTATGTGTCCCGATAATCTTTATTGAAGGCTGTGAATGAGCAGTACTTGCAGCTAACTGGTGAGAAAGATGCTCACATCACAAAGACAGAATCAACCATTCGTGAGACTGAGAGCGAGATTCAGCAACTGAAAGATGCAGCAAGCAGGTGCGTTCATGAACACTGATACCTGTCAATTTCATCTTACAATAAAAAAAAAAGAAAAAGAGATACTCATGTTCTACTCTCTTCAGTGCCGAAGAAGCGCACTTGGCTGTGCAAAAGGTGTGCGAGGAATTGAAGCAGAAACTCAACACAACGGATGCTGACAAGCAAAGCCAGTACCTGAGGATGACTGCAGAGATCGATGACCTCAACAGAACCAAGACCAACCTCGAAGAGCGGCTCATTGAGCTTATCCGGTATGGCCTGTCTCTATTTAAGAAGCAACAGGGTAAAAGTTCATGTTCTCTTTGCATGTCTGTGTTCGGTTGCTGCCTGCTCTTTTGGATTGGTTCTTCCAGTAAGAGCAGGTCTCTGATGTTGTTATACTTGACAGTGATGTTGGAAAATGAGGTCTGAGGAGCAGCAAGGGGGGAAAAAAGCTTCTTTGAATGCTGAGTAGTACACTCCGAACAGGTCTGAATGAAAAAGTTTGACAAAGAAGAGAGCAGGAAAAGTAATGCTTGGAGTTCAACATCCATGCTACAGAGACACTACTGAAGAGAATGACACCTTCTTATGTAACATTCTTCACTGGATTCACAAAGCACAGTTTCCTCCCTGGTTCACAAAGCTTTCATACTCTGTAAACACAAATACATAAACTCCCTTGGGAGGTGCCTACATCATTCCAGTCTTTTGTACTCTTGTATTATGTGTGCCTTCATTGTTTTTCTCAGTCCCATTATTTGGGGAAATAAAGCTACTTTCAAACAAGAGGGTGTAGAGTATATACAATATCATAGTATCACAATATCAAAATCACAGTCCAGGATAAGTAGACAGATCCTGGTGGAAACATATAAACAAGAGATGAGATCATGTGATTGGTACAGTTTATTTATAGTATAGCCAGCCAAAATCTGCCTTCAGAGCAGCTGCTGTGGAATACTGAACATCAACTGCTTTGACTTCAACAGATCACAGTTATTAACAGCAATTAAGTTGAATTCATTTAAGTGAAAAAAAAGTTCAAAACTCAGGTCAGGAATTGTTAAGAAGGAACAGAATGACACTAAATTCCCATGCATTTGTCTTTTTGTGCATTAAATTAGGGACAAAGATGCTCTGTGGCAGAAGTCGGATGCTCTGGAGTTTGAGCAGAAACTGCGAGCAGAGGAGCGCTGGTGGTTGGTGGATAAAGAGGCCACTCACTGCCTTGGCTGCCAGGGCCAGTTCACCTGGTGGCTGCGCAGACATCACTGCAGGTGGGCTTTCGGTTGACTTTGGAGCCTAACTGCACTCACTGTCTTTTCAAGTCCGTCACTAACCTGTTTTGATTTTCAGACTACGTACAGCATCACTTACGCACTTTCTCAACATGCAAGACACAGAGAATATGTTTTTAGTAACAAACGTGTGTCTTAATATGGACATTATTTTTTCTAGGCTTTGTGGTCGCATCTTCTGCTACTACTGCAGCAACAACTATGTGATGACCAAGCACAGTGGGAAGAAGGAGCGCTGCTGCAGGGACTGTTACACCCAAAGTAGTGCGGTGGTGGAGAGGTTCACAGAGGCAGAACTGAGTCCTTCAGATATCCAGCCTCCTCCACCTGTAGCAGGACCTCAACCACCTCCTGCACCAGCCCCGTACAAACCCACCCCCAGGGTAACAGGTGAGAGACACACTGGGAAGAACAACACATAACTTACAACTTGGCCCGAAGGTTTATCACTGTCGTTCACTGGGCTTCAATCTTTTTTTATTGTATGTCAACTGGGAAGCAGAAGCGAAAAGACTGACTTTGTCATATTGAGGAACAAGGACAGAAAGTAACTCATTTTTTATTTAGTAGAGAAAAGGGGAAGAGGTTGACATTTCGAATCAGAGAAGAAGCTGTTTTGCTTTTATTGTAAAGAAGGGAAAGCTGCATAATCACCTGCCACGACACCTTTTGAGTCTGTTTTTGTGTGTGTATTTGTTCATGCGTGTGTGCATGCGTGCGTGCATGCATGCGTGTGTATGTCATTTGTCACCGCAATACCGTCACAACCATGCCAGATACAGTCACGAAACTTTACAGGCGTTAGCACTGAGTACCCATGTAATAATGTAATAACTACAGAGTTGGTCCGAACATCAACATGTTGAAGGGCATCACGTACATTAAGTGCATTAATTTTTATACTATAAACTGTGTAATACCCACAATGTAACATGAGAAAAGATGGTGGTGGTTGTTTCCTGTACCGTATTTCAGTTATCTAATCCGTTAAACCCACCGATTCCTCCCAGTTTCTGACCCCAGCAACCGATCTGACGATGGAGCTTTCGACATCATCACAGAAGAGGAAGTGAACGGTGTTTACGACAGTGACACCACCTCCCAAACAACAGGTGGCTCACTGGAGAATGAACAAGACCGACGGCCTCCAGGAGCAATGGATATGTGAGTGTAACATGTATCTGAGGTTAGAGCAAAAGGGATAAGTCAGTATTTTCTGAGTTGTGATGGGGATGTCATGTCATTCCAAAAATCATGTTTGAACAAATTTGGACTGACTGTTCTGGTATGTGACTCCAAAGTCTTCAGACTCCTTGGGTGAATCCAGAGAGGTCATACTTACTAAGGGTTACACTCTCATGTTGAAATCAGGCCTTTGTGGTCCAGTGTTTGCTCTAAGAAAAGTGACAACTACATAGAGCACAGTCATCAACTGTACCGGTGTAATATTGGCTAATCAGAGGATGTCACAAGTTCAAATCATACGTTCTGTACTGTATATATTGCTGGATGATTGAAAAAAACACAATGGTTTTATGAGCATTGTATGAATGTTATAAATCTAGTGCTGTTCTTAAAGCAGCCGAACATTCTGGGTTGTCATATTGTTTTCACCTCAATTCCTTCAATCAATCAATCAGACTTTATTTGTTTAGCACTTTTCATACGAACAATGTAAAACAAAGTTCCTTACAGAATCAAAGCAATAAAAACAAATACCCCACCCACATCCCCATCCACGCACAGAGCAATAAATTACTATTTTATGAAAAAAAAACAAAAAAAACAATAGAAATAAAACAATGAAAAGAGGAAGTGAGGAAACGCCATCATGAATCTCATAAATTTGCAATGATGAAACACTGAAGACATGAAAATCAAAGACGAGGATGAATTATTAAAGATAAAATAATAAAATGCTAAAAGAGAGAAGATGTGATTAAGTGAGTAAAACCAGAAATAAAAAGTAGGGTATAAGAAAAATAATCCAGAAAATGAAAATAAAAGGACATACCAGTAAAATGGCCTGTATAGATAAATAGACGGATAAATAAATAAAATAAAAATTCAATTAAAAGTCAGACTAAAGAGGACTTGAGTTTGCTTTTACCACCATCAGTTGATCAGGGGAAATGAAAAGGGTCAGTGATGTAAACAGAACCATTGCAGACACTTATCATGGACCATTCTCTATCTGTCTCATACCTGCTGTGAATGTTTCACTGCTGCTTCATAAAAACAATAATAACAATAAACGTTTGATTGCAGAAATTTAGGTGCATGTGCAGTTTGAATTGTTTGTTTTTCTTTGTTTCAACCCTCCCTGATATTTCCCAGTGACAGCACACCTCAAGCTTTAGAGGCTCCTGCACTTAATGCCTTTGACCCCTCCAGGTTTCAAATAGCAATTTGGGAAGCAAAGGGTTTTCACTGATGAACTAAAAACAGCATTGCAGATGTACTTCATGTGCGTAGTTCATGTGCAGAAAAAAGAGGAGCATTAGGCAACACTTGTGCTGAGAAGATAATCCTCAGTATGTTAAGCATAACATACATGAAGTTAAGTGAATGGGGTAAAACTTGCTCAGACTTGCTGGAGTTGTCAATTCAAATGCATGGGCAATGATCTGTGGGTGAAATTCATAATCCATTTCAAACACACAGTCATGACTCTGGAGATTTCTTCACATCATTTCCAACCATATCGCCAGAGGAGTGACTCCTTATATTTTTATTGAGCAGATGACTGCGTGGGTTCAGCAGATCACCGAAACATTTTGAATGATGCACCTATGTTGTCTTCACCAGAATATTCTACTTTTGCAAGATGCACTGATCTCTAATGGTGACAGACAGTCATTTGTGTTGGGTGTGATTACATCACTATGGGATTAAAGAGTTTCATACATTGAAATACATTGATTTTGCAGAGGCACAGGAGATTTGACCCCTGATGACCCTGAAGAGCGTGTCCCCACTGTTCAGGATTCAGAGATCAACCTTCTCAAATCAGGGGAAGTCACGTGAGTGTTTAATATATTTCTTAAATGTTTAAAAAAAAATTTTTAACTCATCTTGGTATTGGTCGAATTACTGCCACTTTAATACATCTTATAATGCATATGTTTTTATTCTAGGATGGCTGTTCCTCTCAGCATCGATGATATCTCTCAGTTTGGTGACGGTTCCAGGGAACTCTTCATCAAGTCCAGCTGTTACAGTGTGATAACTGTTGCTGTGGGTGACTGTGGGCCAACCATCAGCTGGATGTTTTCCTCTGAGCCCAAAAGCATCTCCTTTAGTGTGGTTTACCGGGAATCCATTGACATTCAGGTGGAACAGTCAAAGGTAGATGCTCTCAGTGTGTGTATTTTTATGTTTATACACTAAAAACCACTGCCAACCCTCTTTAACTTGATGGGGCCCCTTGGAGTATACAGTATGGCGGCATGTAAAGATGCCTTGACCTCATTAGCTCCTTGTAAATCTGCTGCAGGAAAAGAGCAGGGAGGTAAATGCCAGAGGTAAAGTTACATCATTGGAAATTAAAGTACATCATAAGACTGGAGGAAAGGCTTTTCACTGGTTGGAAATTGCAGCCATCTTCTAAACTCATTGAAGATGATTCAAAAGCCATAATAAGGAGTTATTACCAACACTGGCTTTCATGGGTGCCCCCTACTGAGGACTGTGGAAAAACACTGCAGGTTGTCAGTATTTGCTCAGCAGGGTGAGGTGCACATCCTGTAACTTAAAATGTCAGGGGTTGTAAACGTGTTACGATATTTCATCTCATATGCCTGTGCCCTCCCTCTTTTGCCAAAATCTCCTTTGTGTGTGTGTGTTTTTTGTTTTTTTTTAATTCAAAGTGTGTTGGAATTTACATTACACTGATGATGATAATGATGATTTCATACTTGCTGTCCAACATAAAGGGCTATGTAAGGCAACATACATTTCATTAAAATAAGACTAGAGTATTATAGATAGTATTTTCAATAGATCAGCCTTGGGGTGATTTGTAGGACAACATCCGGCAGAATCTTTCTTGTGCTGAGTTTCCCTTCAGACCAATGTCCCTGTTCTGTTCTCAGGTCCTGATTCCTCTGACTCGCTGCAATTCCCATAAAGAGACAATTCAGGGCCAGCTGAAAGTCCGTCACCCCGGCCTCTACACACTCATCTTTGACAACTCATTCTCACGGTATGAAACCCTGCCACAGTATGGTGTCTTTCTCCTGATTACTCTTTCAGAATGGGAGAAGCTTGTGAAGGACTGAAATGTTCAAACTCTTATTGTCTTGGTCATCACTGCCACTACTGGGCATGTGTGTGTGTGTGTGTGTGTGCGTGCCTGTGTATATGCATGCATGCATTTGTCCTTTCTGTTGTGCCTCAGCTTTCGTTTTAGTTAATCGGATTGCACTCCTTTGATCAGAAACCTTCTTCCAACAGGTTTATCTCCAAGAAAGTCTTCTACCATCTGACCATGGAGAAACCCGTAATCTACGACGGAAGCGACTTTCCCTGAAGCCGGATAACACACACTCTCACAGAGGCATCATCATGATGTCACTCAGGCTTCAGGGAGACTGAAGGTGAAGGCAATTCATTGACTGTTTTTAATTGATTTGACTTTTACCCCAAACCTGTTTTTACCCAAGTATTTTCTGCTTTCAAAAATGTTTCTGTATTATTTAACTTTGTGGTGTTTATGTTTTGAGGTGTGCTCATGTTTTAACTGTAGCCTAAGTGAGGTGTGGTCAACAAAATGAAAGAGGTTTTAGAAAGAGAAATAGAAAGACAAATGTTTATGCAAGTTCATATATCATCATATATATTTTTTAAAATATATACCAAGTAATATACGTACCTTTATTTCAGCTAGGTTTAAATTAGTAACTTGTTCATTTAGAGAAATTGTGTAATTTTGTTATTTCTTTCTGTAATTTTTGTTTGTTTTTTGGTTTGACCTCTCTTTTCCCAAGTATGCTGTTCCTTTAGGGAATGCAGATCACTGCAAGTAACACTAGCAATATGAAACCTGACATTAGACTGTTGTCAGACATCAAATGTTGCAAAAATGGTCTATGAAGACCCAGAAAGATTTTCATATTTTAACTCTTGGCCAGTTTAAAATGTTTCAAGTGTCGTGCAATCCTTTAAATCAAATGGCCAAAGGAAGAAGAAGAAGTGCAGAAAAGTGGTTTGCTCGTGGTTTGTTTATTAATTGAATCGTCTGAACATATTTGCACTGTGCCAGCGCAGGAAGGAAACAAAGCAGTAAACGATAACGGGACTCGAAAAATACAGTTTCTGCTTGAAATAAAAGCATACGCACTTTGTGCAAATCTCAGGAGTGGGACATAAAATTGTCCTTCAGCGGTAGCGTGTCCTAATTTCATGTTTTTGGAAAACAAAACAAAAAAAACAGAAGAAAAACTGCCGTCTTACTTTCTGTGTAAGGATATCTGCACACCAGCTTTGTCCATCCAGTTTATAGGATCCAGTGAAGCACAGTGCCTATACTTACTGTACACAGGTTGATTTGTCGTTACAATGACATTAACTTAAAATATATTACTCACTGTCCGCTAACGAGCTACTGTACTTTAAAGTGCCTATTAACTCTAATTGTCAGGAATTAGTTTTCTTTTGTAGCTATATATTTCATCCAGAACATGATACTTGGTATGAATTGGCACTATTCTGTAGAAACTTAATTCCATTGACATTTAAAATACAATATGAATGCACAATATTATTTCAGTTGTGTCAGTTGAAATGATTTTTCTCTTTGGTTTTCATTTTAAATCCCTGGAATCTTTTTGTCACGTTTAGATAACGCTCCTGCTTTTCTTACTCTCAGTGATGAAATGGGTTGGAATATTGTGTGCTGTTTATTGTTTTGTTTTTTTTATCACAAAGCAATAAGAAAAACAACAAGCTTGATCACCTTTGGACACAACCTTATGCTCGTTAATGAAACAAGGGCTTATCTCTATGCTGCTTTTGTGGAGATCTGTTGGTTTCACAGTCAGATCTCTTATATTTGTGATGGGTGTAAATTGATGCAATTTGTATGCAAAGCCTCATATTTTCTCTACAGAGCTGCACTTTGTGATAATTATTTTATACATTGTTACAAACAATATGAAATCTGTTAAGTTTACATGATCTTTGTCAAGTAATTCACACAGGGACAGATTTTTCTACTTGCTATTTTTGAACGATAATTCCTAGGGGAATTAAAATGTGCGTGAATTATCACTACGAGCACACAGTGTAACTAGTAATAGACAAGTCAAACACCCAGAAAACATGAATAAAATGTGAGAGTGATGATGCCTCTGACATCCACTAACTTGATTGTGTCTGATTTAGTGTTTGACAACTTGGAACGTCGGAACAAGATCAGCACATTACATCTGTGTGTCACCTCACTAATTCAGAAATCACCACACCCTTCTGAAAAAAACTCCTTTCTAAATTTATATCTGAAGGGATATGGAGGAGTTTTTTTTATGATTTTGAAGGTCCAAAAGAAGAAGAACAAAAAAAAACAAACAGTAAATGCAGATGACAACATCAGAAATAATAATATATAAAATAATAATACAATAAAAGCTGTAGAAGTATGTTCTTCTGCCAGAAGTCATGAAAAGACAAATATCTGATATAATATATCTCCTGTAATTTCTATTATGATGTGGCAAAACCAAAATGTCACACATCCCCACAGCTGTAGCTGGAGAAACCGAGGTCATGTCGTCTGTAATGTTTCATGATGCGGGCATCAACATTATTGGACATCAGATATGGACATAGCCTCCCAGTATAATAGTCAGTACATTTATTGATTTTGTTTGTTATTGTGCTTATGTCAGAATCTGCTTTGTTAATGATCTTATCAGAGCTGAAACAATTAGTCAAAAGACTGGTTGGTCAGGAACCAATTTTAAAATCAAATAAAATTTCTAGCAAAAATGCCAAATATTTGATGGTTCCAGCTTCTCAAATGTTGCCGTTTTGGACTTTTATTTGGACATTTTGAAGATGCCATGGGAATTATGAAGCCTTAAATCTTATATAACCAGTTTGTTCTTTTGTTTCAGTGTAAGTGAAAGAAAATTGGCTCATATACTTTTAATTAAAATATATATATATATACATTATGAAAAAAAAAATCTATTATAAGAATGCACAAAATTGACAGAATGGACAAATTGAAAATATAAAGAGTTTGAAAACTACAGTTTGTGTTAGAATATAAATATTTCATCATAGAGAAAGATATGTCTGGGAATGATCCACATACTGAAATATAAAACAAACAGCCAAAAACGTTATTTTTCCATTAAAATAAATTAGTCTATACCTCAATATTATATGTCACTTATTCCTACTCTTTTCTGTGTGTGGCTGTCCACCCTCATGTTCCCACAGCATAACACATGACCAGACCATAAGTGTTGCGTGTGTGTTTGGCGACACAGTCCGGCTCAGGGAGGCAGAGGGATGAATTTTGAATTTAAAATCAGCTGTGTAAACGCAAACGTCCGCTCAGCTGTAAAGCTTGCAGGCTAAACTAGGAGCTGACTTTTGCCTTCAAAATAAAAGAGAAACATGGCTTCTTCGAAACTGTGCTTCACTTGGTTAATTTGACTTCAATCTCCCCATCGTAGTGTTATTGGTCACTTCTTTTTCTCGAACCTACGGATATATGCAAAAAATAATTTATCCACAACAATTTGTTACTGACAGCTTGGGAGCGGGGCTTTTATTCTGAAAATAAACAGGAATTCCTACGCTATAGCTTAGTTCTTGATGAGCTGTCTATTCACACCTGGGGAGAGAGAGGGGCTCAGCAACCCGTCCTGCAGGAGTGGGTTGCAGTCTCAGTGACGAAAAGCGCCACGCTGGAGTGAGCGGAGGATACTGAACCGTCAACATGTCCTGTCTCCACATCAGAGGGATTTTTCTCACTCTGTGTTTGGCTTCAACTGTGAGTGATTTACTTTTACTTCATGTGTGTGAAAAAAAGAGGACCATTACCATGTTTAAAACTTGCAGCTCTATTATAAGAAATCGTTAGAGTTGTTTTTTTTTTTTTTCTGAAAAACTGAACAACTGCATTATTTCTGAGATAAAAAAAAATTACCTTTTTGTATGAATTTTTTGTTCAAAAATAGACTCCATGATTCTCTTTCTTTTGCCCATTATATTCATCAGTGTGCGCAGGTAGCTGTTTCTGCAGCACTGTGGTTCTTCACAGTGATCCAAAGTAGCTACTGTCCTACTCACCTTAATAGTGACTGGTCACTTTCTTGAGATAGAGGCATTTCATTTATGCAGTGAAAGAATGTAAAGTGTGTAAACTGAGTTTGTATTATAAGCAGTCCAGCCCCATTTATGGTAAGTGCTTGAAGAGAGACACCACAGTATTTTCATTGTTCTCTGTGTGTGTGTGGCCACGGATGATCATGACCTTTATATGTGTAAAGGTTTATCTTTCACATTAAATCAGAATCAGTTTGGAGCAGATTTATATGAGATAAGGGACAAGGTTTGTATATGTGTATGTGCCTGTGTGTGCTGCATATATAGTGCATATGGGTTGTGAGTAATATATCTTCTATTCTGGTTCCAGATGTGAATATTTCCTGGTTGCTTTATGTCCACTACTATAGTAAAATGAAACTTTGGGATTTGGACTTATGGTCTGACACAACAACACTTTTGATTTGCTCACCATGGACACATTGCTCAATTTTCTGTAATTTTACAAACCAAATGACCTGCCGAGTCATCCATAATAAACTAGTAATGGCCTACCACCCTGCGGTTGTATGCTTCTGCCAACCAGGCAAGTTGCAGGAAATATGGTCACAATCTCCTCTTCTGTTCCTGAGTTACAGCATTTTTGCAGAACATTATGATGTCACAGTGAAGTTGACCTTAAAAGTTATAAAATGTCATAACTTCATCATTTTATCCTATTAAACATTTGTGTTAAATTGCGTTATAATTAGCGTATGAATTCTTGAGTTGAGGCCAAAAACATGTTCTGTGGAAACTGTTCTCCTGTAAAACAAAAAACAAGCCTGTAGGTCGTTTTGTGCAGCAGGTTATCATGACCTATAGTTATGTTTTGTTGTTAGGCGACATCTAGTGGCCGTAGAAATGATGATAGGAACAAAGGGAAAAAAGGGGTGACGTAGTATAAATAGCAACAAAGACCGTATCAGGAGGAGTGTAGGGTGGATGGATAGGTCAACAAAAAACAGGAGTATGTACAGTCTAATCAGTACATCTTTGAGTCCAAGTGGACATTTGTGCAAAATGTGAAGAAATTTCCTCATGGCAGTCTTGAGATATTGCGTTCATGAGAATGGGACGGCTATAAGTACATACAGACAACCTTAAAACATCCAGATCTGTCGCCGGCGCAGAGACAGAAAATCACTAGTTTGGCCTTGATCTACTGTTGCTGTTATTATCTGTGATCTACTATTGTTTTATTACTTTCTTGTACCCATTCATTTACATTTTGGAGATGGGTGTGTCTGTGTGTGTGTGCATGTGGATAATAAGGTTTTGCTATAGGTAAGACGTAGCGTCTATGTGTTCACATCTAAAACATATATGCAAAAAGTATGAGAAATTAGTCTAGGAAATTTTATATTTATTTGATTTAATACCATGACATTTGGAATCTTTTCCATTAGTCCACTGAGATCCACGCACACACACACACACACACACATTCAGGAATGTGAAAAACCATTTGGATGAAACAGTATGAGTTTTGTTTGCTGATATTACCACTTAATTTACAGTCTAGTTTGTACAATTTGTTTTGGCCAATCAACTGTGAGGAAGCAAGGCAAGGCAACAAACAGTACACATGTATGCACATTCACACACCGACGCTCACAACAGTTTTTCTCATAATCAACATCTTTATAGAAGTATTATTACATGGCCACCTCGCTAATTTCCATAACGGAATAGAAATATGAGAAGCAGGCAAACGGGTGGTATGATGATCATCGAGGCAGAGAGAGAATAGGAACAGGGCAGACACTCATCACCGTGTTCCACTTCATTCTATTCTCTTTCACTGCTCAGGACTGCAGAGAATTATAATGAACTACGGGGATCCATAAAACAAACACACACACACACACACACACACACACACACATTTCAAAGGAAAACAAGAACAGTAGTTTATGGCAGGTCTCTAGTCTTTTGAATGTCAATGTAACCAGCAAAAAAAAAAAAAGAAAGGAAGATGAAGAGGAAAATAACATAAAATAAAATAATATTTTTTTGGCTTAGTAATGTCCAAACATGCATCTTACTTGCACGAACTAGATTCACTCTACAAACTAAGCAGATGGACTGCTTAGTTTTGCTTTTTGTATAGCCGGTTAGCTTAGCCTAGCACAAAGACTGGAACCAGGAAAACCGCTTGCGAAAAGACAAGTTAGAAATGCAGAAACAGATTAATCAAACAAGATATAATGTGGCTATGTTTGAAGGTCTGCCTGCTAGCGTCTCTAATTCTCATAAATGAACACGTTATATGCAATGACTGAATATAAAGATGGACCATGTGTCTCCACTTGTTTGTTTCCACAAGCCAAAATATCCTGGATACTTGCGCCGTGGTATCGAGGTCCCACTCGACCCAATTCAGTCAGTCACAGCTGTCAATCACGATGTTACACTTCCGTTTTATCGCATCAAATAACTTGTTAAAACCAAACATATCTGAAAAATGAACATTTGAACATACGTCAGCGTGATAAGAACTACTTAAAGTGACATAAACCATCTTTGGAAAAAATGTATTTGACACACTTACATAGACCTACATACCAACTGTGTTTGTGCTGCCTTTCAGATTGACTGGACATGTTTTATATTTTTATACTGTGCCGGAGTACCACTGCTGCTGTGTGAAAGTACACCTTGTTCGCGGTTTAAAATAGAAGGCAACATCTGCAAAGTGAGCCCAATCCGATGGCCCCTTTCTGGGTAGTTAGTGGATAATGGGCTTCACCTCTCAGAGAAAATTTTTACAGCAGACTGCACAGTAGCCTGGCAATGTGAAGGGGACTTCGGCTTTGCATTTAGTTTCATGGCTCATACTACCCAGACTTACCTTATGCAACCCCCGCCTCCCCCTTATCCACCTATCTCTGTTTGTGTCTCTTAAATGCAGCGTAGTGTCTCACTTTATCCCATCATGCCATGCACCCTCAGGGCTCGTAACCACCGTGTCTTGACTCTCACTTTATAACTCACCCCCTGCCATTCAAAGCTTTGTTCGCTTCCTCCCAACTGGACGCCATTCTTACGTAGAATAAAATGTCTTCACAGCATCTCCTTTGCATATAAACAGGGAAGCCATGTGCGGTACATGACCCCCATCGGACATACGGTGCGTGATTCAGCTGATGCTTTTGTCTAGTGCACTTTTTGGTAACATGAGTGCATATATCTTTCTGTTTTGAATATAAGTGCCCTTATTCTCTGGTAATTCAATGCTCAACCAGTGGATTATAACAAC